TGTACCACTTTACACAACGAACTGTAAAATAATAAAGTTCTCATAGACAAAAGCAAAATAAAATGAAATGGGGTTTAACGGCCTTCTTTTCTGCACCAACCGGGATAATGAAAACAGGCAAGTGTCACGCATTGTTCTATACGAGGAGAGCTAGCTTGGAAACTATAGTCCAACCTCGTGGGTTTTCTCCGGGTCCTCCGGTTTCCTCCCACTGCTAAAGACCACTACGCGCAAGCGAATTATTGAAATAAAATTAAACCATATGTTAGTCCCGAAATGACCAAGTTTGAGTTGAGTGGACGTTAAACCCCATTTCTCTCTCTGGAAACTATAAACATCCCCTAACCTCAAATGTGTCCATGCACATTTGTTTATGGTAAATGAACAATTTGGAGAAACATATCTAATTAGCTGATGGTATAAGATTTTCTGAAATTTATCATGATAAGTTTAGCCGAGAAATTTGCAGTCCTGTTGGCCCGTGGATTCTTTTTGTAGGACAGTCTAATTATGTATTTAGAGCTTGCCGTTGTGCTATAACAGTTCAAAAATAGATAATGCGACGTTCTAATCTATTTAAAATATAAGAGCCATCCACATAGGCGTACGGGGAAATGTTTGACTGGGGGGGGGGCGGTGGTGGTTGGTGCCCAAAAAATGTAGTTAGGTTCTTAGTATGTTACATAATAATAATAAATTTGCTGTTAAATTGGACACATTAAAGAACACAATATTTAATATTTTTTTATACAACTGTGTGCCCAAATTTTCCCAGCATTTGGCGCCCCCAGCCCCCCCCCCAGCTCGTACGCCTATGGCCATCCATAGGGAGTTGATTATGTGGGCTTGTATTAATGTTTTGTATAACATTTGAAGCCAAAATAAAGACCTGCAATAGGCAGATTTAGCTCTTACAAAATGCATCTTTAACTGCTGTTTGGAGAAAATATTTTCAAGTAAGCATTAACACATTAATTTAACTATTTTTCGTAAAACTCAAATAAAAGGCCATTCAACTGGCGATTTATAGTGATTGATGTTCATAAAAATAACATTCTTGTGATGTTTAGTGTTAAATGTTTGTAATTTAATCCTATATAAGCCAATTTTTTTTTCTTCAGATAAAATTATTCCCTGATTGTACCAATGCTTTATATCGAATTATAAATAAATCTGTTAAATACTACGGCCTCTATCGCGTTCTCAAGTTTTTTCGGAAAAGGGGGGTTAACGCGAAACGGAATCGAACTTATCCAAGAAAATTAGACACACATTTTCATGGAAATCAGACAAAATTGTTGCCTCTGTATGGATGGTCCACAAACTTTGTACATATTTCCCATTTTCGAAAAGTTTTTTGGCGGGGGGGGGGGGGTAATTCCAGAAGGGAAAGTCACGGTACACCAAATATCGATAGGGTTTGTCGTCTGATGATGACCACAACGCCTCACACCAATTTTGAAAAAAAAAACGATCAGAAACAATATCCCCTAGAGGATAACTCTATTTGAAAAGAATCCGTCGGAATTGTAGCCAATATCGTGTTCACAAGATTTTCGGTAAAATGGAGATAACTCGGGAAACGGTTGCAGAACGCTGAATATCCATAGGGTTTATCCTCTCATAAAAAGGGAGTCGTATAAAAATGACGAAGAACAAAAAACAATAATAGCATAACTCCGAATTTTCAAGTTACTTAGGTCATGTTGAGACTTGCATATTATAGTAAATTACGATTCTGTGGTATTCATGGTGTTAGTTTTGCAAGGACATCGGCATTTCCGCCCATGCTCTTTAGGGTTTTTTTTTGTTCATGTGTACGCAACGTGGTCTAATATAGCCTAATTTAGGTGACTAACTCGAAGATATCAATCGACATAACAATCGTTTACAGTCCACGGAGATAGGCCCGTCGGGATAAAATTTTGAAAATAATTGCCTACCTTAGGTGACTGACAAACTTCCCATAATTTCGAAGTAGAGAAGTTACTTCTTCTTTTGCTCGCTAGCACGCTTCTCTAATGCCTCAATGTCTCCATCAACGAAGTTTTCACTTACCATTTTCCTCTCACCTCGTTAATCTTCCAAGAAATCAAATTCGACTGAGGTCATTTTCACCCCCCCTGTATCGTCACAATAGATATCAAACAGTTGAGAATATTCACTAGTTTAATAGTTTAACATCCTCTTTATATTTTTCATTTTTTCTTGTCTGGCGCGTTTGGATGAGATTTTGGAATCTTGTGTAGAGAGTTAGTATATTCTTTTTGATATGTTTGGTAACCATAGTATGTATATACTATACGTTGCAAAATAACCAGTGTTCTGAAAACACATATTCCAAAACTAGAGCTGCATTATTTTTAGAACGTCCACTTTGACCAGCCCTTGTTGGTCTCATCAGATATATCATATTATTTATGATATCTTTTTTGAAAGGTGAGAGTGCACTGGCAAATCCAGCTGTTTCTATATACAATTCCTTCCCAGTTTTCGCACCAAAGAGCGAGTTGCTTTAAGTTTTGGCGAGGTCATTACGGTATTACTTTAGTCTGCAAGCACACAATAAGCACAAATATGTGAAAATATAGACAAACATAGGTGAGAATATAGGTGAATATGTAGATTGGTACACATAAAATGTTTTATGGACAAGAAAATGTAACAGTAAATGTTAAACAGGTCGCTAACAAGTGAAAAAATATCATCACGTATGAAATTTGTGGAAATACTGCTGCCATCATGGATTTACGCTATTTTGGATTTGTAAATCTTAATCTAACATCGCCAATGAACTCAGCGACCCCGAAAATCCTAATATAGAGTCAAGAGGAGGTTTATACAGGGAAAAATAATGAAGATTTTTATAGTGAAATCTAAATTATCACCCTCAGTTTAACCCCCATTATCTCCAGGGGGTGTGTAAGGGGGTTAGGGGAATCAGAGAAAAAAAAATGTGTTCACACATGGGTAGGGTAACTACAACTTCTAGAGGAGGCCCCGAAAAAATTCATATTTAAAACCACCCCCTATCAATATCATCCAAAGTCTTCGACGTTGAAAACACGAATTATTTGTCATTTTAAATCAACATTGGTGTTGTTATCGTATCGTGAAAAGATGGGCTTCTGATATCCAATATTTCAGACAAAATAAACATTTTACCATTGGTACACGAATCGTGTACCATAATGCGTTTCAGCGCCATTTGTTATAAGGGACTCGAAGAACGAGGCTAGACATATTTCACAAGTCATGTCAAACGGTGAGGCCATATTCTTATCTGGAGAGCATGCGCAATAAATACTATCGGTGTAGACTTGAATAACCAGACGATAGGAATTGCCATTCGATTGACACTTCTGGCGGATTTCGCCGAACGTAACTGATTTGAAATTAGAGTAAAAACGAAAACGATTAAATGTAAATCAGTATATATACATTGATATTACATTATTATATGCGTTGCAATCCATTTGTGTCAATTTGTAGGTCCCAAATATTCGCGATTTAGCTCCTTTAATGCTGAATATCAAAGAAATTATTTTTGTTAAAGGGACCAAGTCAGTATTTTGATCTGAAATTGCTTTTCAATAAAACTGTTGGGCTATTGGGCTGCGTTATCGACTTTATAATATGCCTTCGATTTTTATATCGGGACAGAAGACAGAAGGCATCCATTATCAATACAGTAAAATCGTTTACCAATTATTTTGAAACATTTTACGCGTTAGAGACTACAAACACGTCAAATGATCAACGATGAGATCAATAAAGAAACTGCGTGTATATAAATCGTTGACGCAACTCGGTGTATACTGTTTCGATTTGGCTTATAGATGATTATATAATTTATAAAACAATACATGTATTTATGAATAACAATTACGTACTATGGTTTATTTCACTGTGACGTTTCAACAAGATTTCACAAATCGTTGTCAAACATTATACTCATTATAGATAAAATAGAATGAGAAATCATGAATACCAATATATACAAACATCAGAGCCTATACTATCCAATGGAATGCGAGAGAGAGAGAGAGAGAAATGGGGTTTAACGTCCACTCGACACAAAATAGGTCATTTCGGGACTAACAAATGGTTTAATTTTATTTCAATAATTCGCTTGCACGTAGGGGTCTTTAGCAGTGGGAGGAAACCGGAGGACCCGGAGAAAACCCGCGAGGTTGGACAGGCGACCCTACTCCTTGTCACGTACAACCGGGGATTCGAAACCACGCCAGTTGACTCAATGACAAGCCTAATGATACAGCACACACGTGCTAACCATTCGGCCATCCACCCCCACCCAATGTGCCACAGATGCCTTTTTTCAGCTCTGCATTTTCAAAATTGTCTGGGGGAGGCCCCACCACCGGCACTAGCAGGCGGTCGGCTTCCGTGCTACGAGAATTTAGTCTATCTGTTCGAATGTGACGATAACTGGAGTCTTGTGTATAGTACATATCGGCGTGCACGTTGAAGTAAGAGGGTGTCAGCACCAACCGGGATATACTGTGCCAAACATAATATAAGGTGAATTTACTTATAGCATACTGCCGTCTCCATAAACCCAAACTGAGCAGTAAAGTAGGACATTAAACTACATTGCACAAAAGTTCGATTATTTACTATTTTATTTAGACTAACATATATTACCGGCTGATAGGGGGAGGGGGGGCTGGTCGGATAGTGGCGGAAAAATGGATATTTATGTGTAGTTCCAATCATTCCATAGGTCCTATGTGCAACTAGTACTCTTTCCTGGTCAGCCATGGGATTTCTACGTGGATTTCCAATTTATACACCGGATGCCGACTTATTGTCCCATCTGAACGACTAGTCACACGTTTAAGTGTCATAACTTCCCCACAGGCGTACGTGTTCCTATTAATGACCTCTCTGAAAAATGACGAATAATAAATCACTGGCCATGAATAACCTAGACCCGAGTGGAGAGAGACACGTTAATTCTTGTCTCTATAAATAAAGTAAAGTGTACACACAACAAATGTCATTTGGTTCCGGTTTACTTACTCCAGACACGTAAATACACAAGTGAAGAGGCGTGTTGGTCTAATACAGACGTGGATATCGAAAACTGGACATGAACGTAAAAATGAATTGTAGAAATGTGTGGTGTTATTTGTGGATATGCTGTATTGTAATTATTACAGTGCAAGTGGGCGTCGTTTATTCTGATGTCGGTGAAGATCAGACAGCGAAGTTCGACAAACACGAATCTTATCGGGACATATTCCCTCTCAGTAAACATAACTTCACTCAAAAAGTGTTAAAACATGAAGATGCTTGGGTGGTTTTGTTTCACAAAGGATCAATCAAACGTACATGGAAAACTTTGGCTGTTAGTCTCCGTGGGGTTATTTCATTTGGTATGATTAACGTAAACGAAGAACCGGAGTTATTACATAAACTGGTAGGTACAAGTCTACATACTTGTTGGTTTGCCAACTGCAAGTGAAAGTAGGTTTGCCCGTAGCAACTATGTCAACTTTCTGTTGAATCAGTAAATTGAGTTCTCGCCAAACTACACCAGCAATTGTTAACTACGTGCAAGCTTCTCAAATAAAATGGTATAATGTCTTCTAGAATTGATTCAAATTACAACATTTACGTTTAGCTAGTATTAAATCTAAGGGGTGTGTGTGTACTAAACTAAGTTGATACCCACCTGTATGGGATATTATTCACTGTTAAAATGATATTGATCAGTTTCATATTTTACAGTTTACATCACCGTTGATGTTGATCAGTTTAAAGATAGCTTAAAGGGACAATAACACTCTTGCTGGCTCCAGAAAATAAATAATATCTCTATCTAAGTACTAGATGTTTAAACATGCACTATGCAAGAGCTAATTCTGATTATTGCAAGTCTTAATTTAGGCTTCAGATGTTATAGAAATTATAAATTAGATCTTTATTTAAACAACAAGACCAAAATCAACTCTGTAGACCCACGGATGGCTCGGATTTAAATAGGATTTCACTAATTGATTAAATCAGATAAGGGGTAACCTGATGAAAATACGTCAGTTAGATCGAGGCTAAATGATAGAGTGTACTTAGCGAGGCTGCTGTAAAGCGTTTCCGTATGCCATTGAAAACTTTACTTGATAATCGAGATATGTAGGTGGAGTTGTTGCCTGTCAATCAAACGTTTGGCGAAGGTGAAGACACATTTCGCTACCATTTCTAGGCAAATATTACAACGATGATAACTATGTTCAGAATAAAGTAATTTGACTGAATTTTTCAATATATTCTTCTTTCATCATCTACTTTTGAAGTGTTATAGCAAGAATGGCCAACTCTCTATAAATATCTCCCATAATGTATCTTTAAGTGTCCTACCTGTTGTGTAAATTATCCATTACACCCTATTTTACTTGTCCAGAGGGTTTGAAAATATTTTTAAATCAAAGTTTCATTTGAAAAGGTTTACGTTAGACGTTTCAAACCATTATGTTGAATTTTTCAAATTTTTTAAATAAGGTGTGTTAAGATGAAATTTGTATCATCAATTAATTGGAATATTGTAAAATAGTACAATTTGTTGACCAGAATAAAGATTGAGGCATATTATTCAATTACAACAAGAGTGGTATTGAGCCTTTAAGTCACTTTATGCAAGAGCTAAATCTGCCTAATACATGTCCTTTGGTGGGAGTGGGCTGGATACATGTACTTCAAATTTAATATCAATTAGGCATTTGTTGACATGGCAAGCCCATAATCAATTGTCTAGGTCATTGAATGGATAAGATATTAAATGGATTAAAACACCCACCCCATTTAATAATATAATGTTAAGATAGGTTGCCAGGCAAAGAAACATACGCTAAATCATCTAAGCGGTTTACAAGGGTTGTCGCATATTTATTCTTTTGTAGGCATTTACAAGACAATTACATATAGTTGAGATTATAATTTTTGTCGTTTGAGGGTTCACAAGGTTCTACAAACTGAAACAGGGACAAAAACTCTAAAAGTAATTTACAGAATTTGTTGAAATTAAACAGGCTTTTTCGTTTTACTAATTTAAAATTTAATGATAACTGTTGTCGTTTGAGCATTCACAAGGGCCACAAGTCTAGAAGTAATTAATGGAAATTGCTGAAATTCAATCGGCTTCTTTGTTTCACTAATTTAAATGATGCATAAATATTTCATGTACATCAGATGATAACATTGTTCTTTGAGGTTTAACAAAGTGAAACAAGAGCTATAACTCAAGAAATTATGAACAGAAATTGCTGAAATTCAATGGGCTTCTTCGTTTCACTAATTTAAATGATGTATATAAATTTCAAATAGATCAGATGATCACTTTTGTCGTTCGAGCGTTTTTAAGCCTTTCGGTACTTATGTAAAGAACATATCAATTTCAAAACAATAAGATGATAAATGTAGTCTGTAGAGTGTCACAAGAAATTGTATAACTTATTTATGTATCAAAATGGTTTTATTTTGTAAGTTTCACTAAACATTTTGTGATATTTATTAGATTTCATAGTTTAAGACCATCTAAACATTGATTAACATTGACAAATTTTCTCGGATAAATAACTGATTACTCAATTAAAAATAAGAACAACCAGTGACATTTAATTGCTCAATATGTTTTAATCAAGAAAATCTGTCAAACTCTTATGCCATTTCAATAAAACCCATGTTGAATTAGTTTATTGTCCTTTAACCTTTATTTTTAACTTATTGTCAATGTATTCAGCAAATAGCATTGTTATCATTCGAATGTTACTTGGGTAGGAAAATAATTGACAATGTATTTCTGCACTTTATTACACATCTCTCATCAACATGGACTTTATTCTTTTTCTGAAATTTTGAAGTCCTTCGGGTTTCACTTTTATCCCAACTGTCTAGTTTTTCGATATTTCTCAGGTTGATTCGACTACCCAAATATGTACCCGTTTATCACCCCCTACTGCCATAACTGGTAAATGTAAGTGCCAAGTTAAACCATAGGCTACAGGCAAACTAGTATTTATATGCAACTGTTGATGTCTCTTATTAAATACTTTTATTTGTCGTCCTGGTCGACCAATTGTAGCTAATAAACTTTCATGACATCTTGACCACTTGAAATATTTACCACCATCTGTATGCGCTTGACGTTTTTCTATTGGCTGACTAGATAAAGATGTATCAAACATCATCCAATCAGTGCCTGCAATAGCACCTACTAATAAACAGTTATGTCTTGACCAATCAGCTGCCATAATAGGCGATTGACCACAATTTAAACTCATGATTGTTTGTTGATTGACTAAACTAAATATTCTGATAATGCCATTTTTCTGTGCAACTAAAATTTTTAATTCTTCTTCGTTGTGCCAGCAAACTGACATACCAGGTGACGTCAGCTGAAACACCGATATGACATCTCCGTCTTTATTCCAAATACGACAAGTTAGATCATCTCCAGTACTAGCTACCTGTTCTCCTTGATTAGGGTCAAATGTTACAGAATTTACATAAGATGTGTGTCCTTCAAAAGCTAAGACTGTGTCATCTTCTTTTAAATCTGATTGTACTAATCTTAGTTTATAATCTTCTCCGGCAGCAATAAAACTCATAAGTTTTGGTATTGTACTGAGTGATGTTTCTGGACTCCATGCCAACGCTGATGATTTACAATCTAGCTTGAACTCGCGAATATGGGTGTATTCAAACCCATCAACTGCTTCATCTTCTTCCTGAAATATACATGAGAAAGCCGTAACTCTGTTCCCTGTCGCTACCGCTAAAAGTTTGGCTGACCATGGAAACGGTGAAAATTCAACACATTGAACCACATCGGAAGTTGGTATGGCGTACTGACTGTAGCCAGGATTATCCATTTCGCGTTTAATATTATGGAATATAAATTCTAGTTGGGTTTGAAACCTGTTTTATAGTTATACAGTGTTATACGGCGAATATTTACTGCGCGCGGATCAGTTTGAACAATTGCGCAACTTCCGGTACACGAGGATCCGTAGTCTCGGTCACACAGTCTCCTATATTTTTATGGATGATAGAGACTAGAGGATCCGGTAATTGAATAATATGCGCAGTGGCAATGTTGTCAAATATAAAAACATGTAAACATTGATAATAGGTCTGATCATAATGACAGAGAATGTTTCAAATCAGATGCAAGGAAATGCTTGCACTGTTAATAATAATAATAATAATATCTTTATTAGGGAAAGAAATTAGGCCAGGCCTTTTTACAATTCTGCCCTTGAAACGTAACAAAACAATATAAGAACAACAAGAACAACAATGAGAGAAAAAAAAAAAAAAAAAAAAAAAAATGCAGTTTGGTTAACTACCTTCTCTATTATGAATTAAAATTATGTACATAAGGTGTACTAACAAGACACCGGCCCATGATCACAGGTTTTGGACGTCAAAACCAGGGACGTGTACGCACAAGATCTAATCATGAAATGAATTTAATAAAATTTATGAAGAAAGAAAGAAAGACCTGCGATAATTATAATAATTGGCAGATTTAGCTCTTAAGTTTAAATAAAGAGAGAGAGAGAGAAATGGGGTTTAACGTCCACTCAACACAAACTAGGTCATTTCGGGACAAACATATTGTTCAATTTTATTTAAATAATTCGCTTGCGCGTAGGGGTCTTTTAGCAGTGGGAGGAAACCGGAGGACCTGGAGAAAACCCACGAGGTTGGACAAGCGACCCTACTCGACTTGTCACGTACAACTGGGGATTCGAAACCACGCCAGTTCACTCAATGACGGACTAAATTTATGATACAGCGCACAGGTGCTTACCATTCAGCCATCCAACCCCCAGTTTGAATAAAGACTGTTACAGTTACATAATGTATTTTTAATATATATAAATACCAAAATGTCCTAAAATATATTTTGAATTTGATACATGGGTTCATTTTTATAAAGACATATTACCCGGCATCTCCACCATTGATCGAATTTGTTATGCTACATGTACATCAGTTCATGATTCTAAGAAATATCCTTTATTATTAAGTGAGTACATAATCAGAATCTAAAAACTACCTCTACTAGTACTAAACTGTTGACAAATCTCTAAACTTATTTTTTAAGGTTAGCCACTTATTTGCTACTCTCAGTTTAAAGTGGTATGGCAATTCTTAAAAATACAAATATTTAGTCCTTTATAACAACCGAGTGAAATCAAAAGTATTTTACTGTGAGTTGTGGGGAATAAACACACACTGCATAGTTTTCTTAATTAAATGTTAAAAAATCAATTTGAGTACATTTTAGTTTGAATTAACCCATGCAAAATTTGATATTTTCGAAAAAGTTCAGACAGTGCACAGCCGCACTGTCTCACACAGAGCCTTTAATTTTTATCATTGACTATTTATTGAAGCAGAGGGATGTGGTGCTCAGTCCAAGCACTGGACACTCCTGTAGAATGCCCCGAGTTGGAATCCCAGTGTGGTTTGAGAAGATCTATCAGATTTTGTGAAGCCCACCATTCCCTTGTAGACATTGGTATGCATATATAAAAGAATCCTTGACAGGTGGAATTTGTAGAAGAGCAGATAGAGCTTCTACCTCACTGTTACAGCCCCCCCACCACCACACACACACACACTCCCTGGATTCTAGTACTGCCATAACAGAAAATGTTTACCCTTTCAGTGGACAATCCAAAGATGAAATATTGTCATAAAAGAAAGCTGGAAAGAATACAAATGTCTTTAAAATTATTTTGTCATTTAATAGGGATATGATCTTCAAACTGGACATGAAGCTAGAGTATATCCATATGGTTCTAAAGCAACTAAGGAGAAATACAGTCTTGAATCATCAAGTCCTAACGAAATAAAAACTGAAGCAGTAAAATCCATTCCTAACTATATACTGGATGTCAAGAATATGGGTATAGAGGACTTTTTAGTGGATAGTTTTATGTCAGTTCCATCAAGATTTCCACTAATTATTTTCACAGGTAAAAATTTGAAGTGAATTCAGAATCTTTCCCCCCATTCTATTTAACAAGTAAACTTAACCCTAACCCTTGTTGGCTTGGCGTGCACATGCAATACATGTAAACTCAGTTATTCAGTGCATTTTTAGTGAAGTAATTTGTCTTCATAAATGTAACATGAAAGACATTAGAGGGCTAATAATCATTTAAATTCAATGAAAACTAGGACTGGAAAGTATAGATTTTAGATAGTAAATTAGACGATTAAAACCAAAAAAAGGAAGATAACGGTAGATACTATCCCAGTGTTGGCAGAGAAAGTACCTCAGGATTTTCCAGAGTGGGTTCCACTTGTCAGTATTGCTGAACAGTGACTAGTCATTTGGATGGAACAAAAAAAAAACAAAACAAAAAAACATTGGTATGCATGTAAAAGGACCCTTGACAGTTGAAATTCAAAATAAAAGCAGGCTGTAGAAATAGTTGTCAATTATCACAAGAATCCAGTAGAAACTCATCTTCAATAGAAGGCTTGATCTCGCCTTAACTACTGTACATCTTATCAAGCTAGATGTTGTAAAACTTGCGGTTGTTGCTTCAGGAACATGGTAGAAACTAGTCTTAATTGAATCCAATCAAATGATTTTCTTTAAAATCAAAATTTTATTTATTTCAGACTCTCAAGAAATTCAACCAATGTTTAAATCTCTGTGTTTACGATTGGAAAGATATTATAATTTTGGACACATGGTTCAACCTGGTATGTCAGATCTGAAGCAGCTAGGCATTGAGAATGTGTACTTGGATATGCCGTCGGTGATGGTCTTAACTACAGAAACTACTGATATTCAGGATCCAAAATTTAATGCCATACAGTACATGAAAAGTACCTATGGAGAAATATCATATCCAAACGTTTTAAAGTTTTTGATCAATATTAATAGAAAGTTTCGACACTTGTTAGCGGGAGATAACATGTCAAATAATAAAAACAAAGTGGAGATGACAGAAGTATTGGAAAAAGAATCTGAAAAATTTGACATTTTGGAGAGCCCACAAGTTCATATTAATGTACATAGTGACAGAGACTTTGTTGTGGACAATTTCATAGAATCCAAACTCGTCGATGAGCTATAAATGTAAAAAAAGGGCTACTTTATTAAACTCATTTATACATTATTATTTTAAAGCGAAGAATCAGGAATTTATCTTGAGCCAGAAATATAATTTCTATAAGCTAAATCTATTTTTCTTCAAACATCTCGTTTAATGTTAAATCATTCCGTCATATCAATTTTTAAATGCTTTTCTAATTCTATTTATGTAAAAATATTGCTAAAAATTTGTATATATTAATGAAAGACCATAGCTTTATATTTTTTTTTAGTAAAAAATAAAAGTATTTCATAAACATTATAGCCATGTGTAAATGATAAGCTTCTGCTTTATATAGTTAGATTATTTGGGAAGACTGAGCAAAATCATTTGAAATAGAGTTGTGCTTCTTAGGATTTCATTTACACAGCAAAGTTTGAATTCTGATAAAGTTTTTCCTTGGCCCCCCAATATAGAATAACTGCAAATTTTTTCTTTTTAAAAAACCCCAAACAAATAAGCTAACTGTGAGGCCTCATATGACACCCATTAATTACTTGCACATTTATCTTTTCCTAAAGCATTGAGCAAATAAATTTCATATCGCTCCTGCTCAACTGAGCAGAAAATGCCAAGTTTCATCACTGTCAATTGGCAAATAAAATTTGTTCATCTCTGCATAGTTGGCATCTGCAGCAAATGGTCATCACCAAACTCAGACAAGACATCCACCTAATGAACATCTACACCAAAGCAAGGGTCATTGTATGCCAACATGGACTGACAGTTGGATGAAGTCATTATGAACAGTCTCCTACTTTCTCTGAAAGGTGGGGGACAAAAGTAAAAAAAAAAAAATAAATGTATAAAGATGCAATAAAAACATTTTAATGAAAAGCACCACAAATATTTTACAATTATCATTCATGAAAATATAAATCTATTAATAAATACTGTTTATGAATACTCTCCAACATCATATATTTATGTTGAAAAAGGAAAAAAAACTATCGCACATTTTATACAAATATTCCTGGGCAAACTTGCATAAGATAAATTACTTTCAAACCCCTAATAATTCACAATTTGATGGGTGACTTCAACTACTTGAATACTTTCAGACCCTACAGGCAGATATGATGGATATACTCAATGTAACCTATGATATTTACAAAGAAAAATTCATTTATTTGTTTAGCCATAAACCTAATTATAGAGGATGTGCTACTTTTACTTTTCTGGTGCACCTGGTCTTGACCACAACATAAAGGTCATCACAGTGTGGAATGTGATAAAATGTCAGTGATGTTCAAGCCAAATGCATCAAATATCCAATGAAACACTGTTTGGAGAAATATTGGTTGTAAATAATGTATTACTGAACAGTTGTAAAACCTGTAGAATAATCAGACCTAACTTTGCTGTATCTTGTCAAAATTCTAATTTTGTTTAATGACGTTAATCATTTTTGGGTGCTTTCTTCTGTATGGTGAACAGCAGTGCTGCCAGAAGGTGTATTTTTTTCACTTGTCCATCGCCAGTAAGCCACCTTTGATCTGTCCCAGACCGCAGTAAATGAATCAAAAGCTGGTCGAACGTCAAGTAAAGTGAATTCATGAGTGTCGGGATCCACGGAGCCACCATCGTAATAATCTATTATATACCTCACTTCTCTACCACATCTATCTACTATCCAATCGTGTCGGTCAAATGGTAACTCATACCTATAAATATTAAATATAAATTATGATAAATGTAACACAAAGCTACAAATAGTAAATAACTATTATGATAAATGTAACACAAAGCTACAAATAGTAAATAACTATTATGATAAATGTAACACAAAGCTACAAATAGTAAATAACTATTATGATAAAAGTAAAGCAAAACAGAGCCTATCTTTATATTATCTATCATTGTGTATCCTTTTTCATTGGGTGCTTGATTGTCAGTGCTATCCAGAAAGCTGGAATTGCAATCGAAATACACGGAATATCGAAAAGAACCGAAATCTTTGGGATATAAACAAATATTTTAAGTTTCATCAAAATCAGATAAAAATTGTGACCTCTAAAGGTTCCAAAACCTTGGTATTACATAATTTTACACTATTTGTGTTCAAGGAGTGGCCATTTTGTTGGGCAGTTTCGGTCAGATTTTTGTACGAAATTCAAACTCAACCATCATCGTGGTGTAATGTTGATATATTACAACGATTTTTTAAATTGGATAAAAATTGTGACTTCTAGAGGGTCCACAAGCTAAAATCGCAATTTTTTCGTACAATCAGGGGCCATAGTCTAGGAAGTTACGGTCCGATATATACGAATATCAAAAGGAACCAAGATCTTTAGGTTATAAATATACATTTCAAGTTTCATCAAAATCGGATACAAATTGAGGCCTCTGTGGTGTCCACAATTTAAAAGCGTGATTTTTCGTACAATCAGGGATCATAATCCATGAAGCTACTGTCGATCCATGCCAATATGGATAGGAACCTAGATCTTTAGGAGATAAACCTATATTTCAAGTTTTGTCAAAATCGGATAAAAATTGTGACCTGTTTACTGTCCACAAACAAATTCTGGACCAACGGACGGACAGGGATGCCGACAACATACATCCACATAAGAATGTGGACGTATAAAAAGGTATGGTAACGGAAATACTCATTTGAATAAAATATTGAGTTTAAAAACATGGTATTTGATATTTTATGACGATAAAGCGCAGTACATATCTGTGTATTATCTACAACAAAATTTGATATAATTTTGTGTTGTCATCTATATAAAAAAGTACGATAACAAAAATGTTCGTTTGAATAAAGAATTTAAAAACATGGTATCTTGTATAAAGGTACAATGACAAAAATACTCATTTGAATAAAATATTGAGTTTAAAAACATGGTATCTGTATTTTGCATATTTTTTTTTCACATTTGAATACAATATTTCACCACTGTAACATATGTTTACTCTAAGTTCAAATACCAATTTAAAATCGATAAGGATATATAATTCATAATTGTAAATAGATCTAGATTCTAAATACTAACATTTTGATAATAAAAAAAAGAAACAAATAATTACCCCAGCCAGCTTCTTATTCTTGCTCTCGGTGAGTAATCCTGTGCCTTTCCCCCAAATCTTTTTAACTTTGGATGCATACATTCGCTGAAAGAGGGAGAATTGTTGTGTAATGTCCATTAAAAACCATGTTATTTTGAAAATATTATTTTATAAAAATTATCCTCCTTACATTTGTTGGGTTAGTACAATCTAAACTTTACTGCCAGATATATGTTTTTAATGAGGTTTTTCCAAACAATGAACAATCAGAAAATGTACAAACTGGGTATAACAAAGTAGTGCATTTTTCCCAAATGATCAACCTAACATATGTAGTGATCAGCATGAAATGTACAGTGATCAACCTAAAATGTGCAGTGCAGTAATAAACCTGAAATGTGCAGTGCAGTGATCAGCATGAAATGTACAGTGATCAACATGAAATATGCAGTGATCAACCTGAAATATGCAGTATCAGTCTGAAATGTGCAGTGATCCACCTGAAATGTGCAATGATCCACCTGAAATATGCAGTGATCAGCTTGAAATGTGCAGTGATCAGCATGAGATGTGCTGTGATCATCCTCATTCAGTACAATGAAATCACACTAACTAAAATCATATTATTTTTGGTGGGATCTCTCTTACCACGCATGTAAAGCCTCCCATTTTAAAACTTCTTGCCAAGCTTGTTCGTTGTTTGCATTATGAATATTAATAATATGTTTCATATCATCAGGTCGAATATTTTCATCTTTCCATCTCCAACCTGTAAAAACCAAAACAAATATATATTTTCCAAATATTAAAATGAACATTTGGATATTGATAATCTACAAACTAATCTAATAGAATAATTGAGATAATGTAAGAAATTAATAAGCCTTAAGTAGCCAAACCGGTTCACAAAAATGTGTATTGCAATTTAATCATTGCGAATTGCAGTGATCTTGTTCCATATTTTCTGTTTCTGTTTTCGATGGAAGGATGGTGTTGAAGCAGAGTATTTTAGGGTGTCTGCGTCATAAATCGTAAGAACTGTTATCTATGCAAGTCATAGGTTTCATTCCTAGCTTTTTACTTCTACTAAGCAGTAGGATCACCCCATGGATTTTGTTTGGGTACTCTTGTTTTCTTCCAACCAAAGACCTCGGAGCAAAAGAGAATTTTTGAAATAAGACTGATAGTTCTGAAATGACCAAGCTATTTGATATTTAACCCCATTTCTCTCTCTTCACTGCTGACAGTATGGAATAAATTATGATGAGTCTTTGTAGGAGTATGCTAACTGGATAATTGAGAGTAACGGTATGCAACCAGAAATTATTTAATTTTACTTACCTTTACGTAACATTGCATTCCAGAACATTTGCTGTGAAGGATAAACCCACTTTTCATCCTCTGTACCAGCTTTAGGAATACTTGATTGAACACGATCTGTTGGTAATGTGAACGGTTGATCTGGTGCTGGTCTCTGGTTAGGGGGTGGCATCTACAATATTATTTACATCTATATATAAGAACTTTGTTTGTTATAGGAAACCGAACAGATTAACCTTATATTAAAGATACATCATGGGAGATTAAATAAAGAGCTGGCAGTTTTCACTATAATAGTTAAAAACTAGATAATGTAAAGGGAATTTGCTGAAAATTTCAGTCATATTGATCCACACTGAACTGATATTTTAGCGATTGAATTTTCGGCCTAGCCTTGATCATCATTACTAAAGTCAGTATGATAAAAAAACATAGTCTTGATTACACATTTCATGATTAAATCATAAATGGAAGTCGAACAGCAAATCGGAACCTAATCCACTAAACAATGCAGGCTAGCAATGACATCGAGTGCTGATTATGTTCTGGATAAGTTAAATAATGTCTAATTAATAATTTAGATAACATTTCAGGCCTAAAGAAAGACCTGCAATAGGCAGATTTAGCTCTTGCATAATGTATGTTAATTTTTTGACGCACATTTGCATCATAAAATAAATACACAGAAAATTAACAAATCTGTGCCAGACAAATGACAGGCACCGGAGGATTTGTATCTGACAAGTGATTTTGTTCCTGATATTATTAATCATAAACCTACCATATTAGTTGGATCAATTGCATCACCACTTTTATTCATTGGACATTCACTGGCTGGTTTTGTTGCTTGACTCATAGGACATTCACTAGGATATGCATTTATGTTAGCATTGATATCTGTTTTAACATCTTTTCCTTTGTGCATTGGACATTCAGAGGGTGGTGAGGCACTGATTTCATTTACTTTGGTCGTATTTGCTGTTGATGATGTTGCCCCCATTTTTCTGAAATTAAAACAAAACCCGGTAAATTGCATGGAATGAGTGTGAGAGAAATGGTGTTAATTGCCCACAAAATTGCCCCCATTAATCTGGTCTGCCCTCTGTTTGCATCCCAAATAATTTTAGAAAATAAAAAAAAGTATTTGTGATACGTTTCGGTAATCAATACCTTCTACGGTGAATAAATCCCACATCCCCACTCAGTCATAAACTTGCATGTTGTAGAGCATTTTCGACAGTCTATTTTTCAAAATTTTCTTGGCGAGGTCCCCAATGGACTCGCTACTTTGGTGCTCACAAGGGGAATTCGTTGAGGTTCGCAAGTCCGTTCAATTATTTAAAGGCTCAATACCACTCTTGTTGTAACTGAATAATATGGCCCAATCTTTATTCTGGTCAACAAATTGTACTATTTTAGAATATTTCAATTAATTGATGATACAAATTTCATCTTAACACACCTTATTTAAAAATTTTGAAAAATTCAACATAATGGTTTGAAATGTCTAACGTAAACCTTTTCAAATGAACCTTCGATTTAAAAATATTTTCGAACCCTCTGGACAAGTAAAATAGGATGTAATGGATAATTTACACAACAGGTAGGACACTTAAAGTAGCTAAGTCTCTAACTCAATATCATCCAAAATCTTCAACATTGAAATCACGATTTATTTGTCAAATTAAATCAACATTCATGTTGTGATCTTATCGGAAAAAGATGGGCTTTTGATATCCAATATTTAAGACAAAATAAACATTTTACCATTGGTACACGAATCGTGTACCATAATGCGCTCCAGCCCCAGTTGTATCAAGAGACTCGAGGGACGAGGCTAGACACATTGCACCAAATCAAACGGCGTATGTAGACTGGAATAACCAGACGCTAGAAATTTGCACTTGCTTGAGACTGCTGGCTTATTTCACCGAACATAACTGATTTGAAATTGGAGTAAAAACGGAAACCATTGAATGTAAATCAGTTTATATACATTCATATTACAGTATTATGCATTGTGACCCACTTTTGTCAATTTCTAGGTCCCAAATGTTAGCGATTTAACTCCTTTAAACATCTAGTACTTAGATAGAGATATTATTTATTTTCTGGAGCTTTCAAGCCAGCAAGAGTGTTATTGTCCCTTTAATAGCCGCGGGTACTATATTAATATTATATAAGGGCAGTTGTTGCACTGAACATTTTATAAATATTTTCTATGAAACAAACAGTATAGTTAGTAAATTGGTAACAATACCTTTAGCACAAAATTAAAAGAAGAAAACTGTGTACAATTAATCTTTTAATGTCTAGAAGTCTAGATATATTATATATATGTTACATAAAAGTAAAGTAAAAGTAGACAAGATTCAAGCATTTAGAACTTAGAATAAGACAAGATTAAAATGAAAAATCGGTTTAGATGCCCAAGAAATGTGACTGATGGCAAATCATTAGAAAGGACTCGACTCACTTACACTTAATTTATTATAATTTACTCCCAAAATACTAGACAGTAGCAAGCTGCTCGGTTGTAAACAAGAAGGTCATTTGAAATCCCACATGTTTCAGAAAACGTCTGCTTGACTTTACGAGTTACAAAACATGACAAATTCTACAGTGCTGTTGCGGATGTCATGGCGCCTTACCATTGGTTAATAGTTTGTGTTTGATTTTATTTGCTTATATCTATTTTAAGTCTTGTGTACGGGATAACGAAAATTAATTCGTATTATAGCATAAAATATCAATATTTTTGCCACAGAATACAATGACACGTTTGTTTTTGTAAAATTTATTGGTAGTGTTCTCATTCGTCCCCCATTTTAAGCCTTGCTACACGGAGATTGAAAAATTATGTTTCCTGTTTTTACAGCGCATGTCTGACCTTGTTTTGTTTCCCGAACTGGATACCAAAGACTTGGCGCTAAAATTAAAGTTAAAAAGATCAAAGATGGGCAAGCAAAAATCCGCAAAAAATTCCCGTGTAATTGATAAGACGGACCTAAAAGAAAATATGGAGGAAAAGCCTTGGTATGAAATAGTTATAAACTTGTCAGACATGTCCTTCTTCATCATAAGCCCATTTTATTTGTGTTATTATTTATATATCTCGTGTGTGGCTCTTCTTCCACCGACAAATGAATGAAGTGTACTGTGACTGTGTATACCTGCCAAGTACGGTCCAACCCATTTCCTAAGTGTAGGCTACAGTGTGAAATTTAACCCTTACATTAAAGGAGCTAAATCGCTAATATTTGGCACCTACAAATTGACACAAATGGGTCGCAACGTATATAATATAATATGAATGTAAATAAACTGATTTACATTCAATCGTTTCCGTTTTTACTCCAATTTCAAAGCAGTTATGTTCAGCAAAATACGCCAAAGTCTCTGTCGAATGGCAATCTCTAGCATCTGGTTATTCCAGTCTACACCGATAGTATTTATTGCGCATGCTCTCCAGATAAGAATATGGGGTCACCGTTTGACATGACTTGTGGAATATGTCTAACCTCGTTCTTCAAGTCGCTTGTTACAAATTGCGCTGAAACGCATTGTGGTACACGATTCGTGTACCAATCGTAAAATGTTTATTGCGTCTTAAATATTGGATATCAGCAGCCCATCTTTTCCCAGTAAGACCCCAACACCAATGTTGACAAATAATTCGCGTTTTCATTGTCGAAGGTTTTGGATGATATTGAGTTAGAGACTTAGCTACTTTAAGCCATTCATCACATAGACGTTTGTGGAACTTAATAGAATTTCACCATTTCTTGCCAGCGTATTTTTTTAAGTTGAAAAATTGATTTAGTAGATTCAGATTTAAGATAATACTTAATAATAGGCTAATTATTTAATTTTTATTGGTTGGTAGTAATAATGGTAGGCTATTTCAGTATTTGTAACATATATTATTGGAGCCATGGTGACTAAGTGGGTAAGACGCTGGAGGTTGGGTGTTCTATCCCTGCATTGGCCGAGAAAGTTCTCGGGATTTTCCAATGTGGTTTCCTCTTCCATGGTGCAGGATGGAGGACCTGACAAGGACAGCTGTCTAGTTGTTCGAATGGGACAAAAAAAATTAGGTCCCGTGTATACATTGGCATGCACGTAAAATATCCCTTGACAGTTGGAATTCGATATAAGATAAGAGCAGGCCATAGTCCTGGGTATACATTATAAATGGCATGCACGTAAAAGATCCCTTGGCAGATGGAATTCGATATAAGAGCAGCTAGGCCATAGATAGTGCCGAGCAAAATTTCCCTCATAGCACACTGTATGGCGTATGCCCTTCTTCATTAACCCAGTAATAATAATAATAATAATAAGTTCTTTATTTTCAAAAGGGTGAAAAATTAGGCTTTGCAGCCTGTTTACAATTCTGCCCTTAAGAGAAGAACAGTAGGATGTTAAACTCCATTTCATTTCATTGTCATTTGTACCGTATTATTACAAACTAAGGCCTAGCCCTAAAATCTCTTTAGAATAATTGACATTATTTAGTTTGATGGAAGTTCATACAAGTCAGAAGATAGATATGGAACCTGAATAAATGACAGCAGTTTTATATTTATGTCCCTTTAAATAAATGACATCATATAGATGTAATAGCTATTGACAGACCCTTTTAACTTTAATACAGAAATTGTTTAGACCCAGGAAAGTAGACATAGTATAGATCTATTCTACCTTCTAGATAGATCTGATCTTAGAAAAAATGTTAGAAGCTTTAATAAATTGAATTTTTCAGTAAAAGAAGGAAATTAGAAAAGGATAAATCCTTGAAGAGAACTTCTTGGTGTGAAGATGACAAAAGTACAAAGCTTATTTACACAGAGATGGGCCTTGGCTTGATCAGTGATAGCAGTGATGATACAGACAGTTGTGATGGTTTGAACGAAAATACGCCAGCCTCCGCCACACAGAGATCAACACCTGTTGTCCCAGCAGTAAGATATATTCCTTATATTTTTACACCTGTCGTCACAGACATTGCCACTGTCAGGCATAAATCCACTTAATCCAGGCCTTGTCTAGCATAATCCCTCTTTTTTCTGTGTTTTTCTTAAATTTTATTATCAATACATGTCTGGCATATAGTGGTAGCACCATTTACCCAAATCCACCATTATTTCAACTCATAAAATAATAATTTATTTTATATATATTTGATAATATACTGTTCTTTATGCCATATTAGCATATTAATTTAAAATTGTGATGTTTTTGTTTCAAAAATGCCCATCAAAATGCAATTTCCAAGCAATCGATTTTGTGCAATACACAGGTTATGTTCCTTGGTTACAACTTCCAAGTTGCTTGGAAATCACATTTTGAGGGGCATTTTCGCCCAAAAAAATGCTACGATTTTCAATTACAAATGACAATTTAGCATATAGAACTGAATTATGAAATGTTGATATAAAATTATTGTGATACGAGTTTACGAGTTAAAATAATGGTGGATTTGGTTACAACTTCCAAACTTGCCTGGAAATCACATTTGAGGGGCATTTTGACACCAAAACGTTACGATAATTGATTAAAAATGACAATTTGGGATACAGAATAGTATGTTATCCAATATCAATATAAATTTATTGTCTTTTTTAAGTTGAAATAATGATGGATTTGGATAAATCGTGCTACCCGTCATAATACAGTTCAAAATATTGGTCCTGAACTAGTAAAGCTATTTTCTCAGGTTTATTATCCCAAGGTCTGGGTAAGAACTAAATACATGTCCAAATTTAGAGATTTTTGGGCTGGATAAACATGCTTATTTAATTTCAGGCACCAAGAATTCTAAAACCTAGTCAAAGAAATAACTGGTCTTTTACAAGCACAAGCTCTGATGATTTCTTCTCACCAATCAAAATACATCGAAAATTTCGAGGAAAAGATGACCTTGATGAATACACAGGAGAAGGTGAAGTTTATATTATTTTAAACATATCCTTTCGTTTGTGTGTACTAGTGCACAGGCATGCCCAAATTTGTAAATATTTGCACCAGTTGAAAATTCAATTTCTAGATCTGTAATTGTAATGTCATTGTGTGAAACTAAGCTTGAAGATGGCATAGACATTATGTCTTATTTAAAACATTTGGATATAAAGTCATTTAATTTGTGTGTGGTGAATTGTAGTATCCATATGCCACACAGTGTACTATGGGTGAAATTTTCCCTGATAGCGACAATGCGGCCTCCTCTTATATCGAATTCCAACTGTCAAGGGTTCTTTTATGTGCATCCAAACAACTATACGTTGTCTCTTGCCAAGCCCTCCGTCCTGCACCACTGACAAAGGGGAACCATGCAAGAAAATCCCAATAAACTTTCTAGGCCAGATTGAACACCCAACCTCCAGGCTAGCAAGCGAACGTCTTACTCACCGAGCCAACGTGGCTCCCATCTTTAAATCTAAAATATATCCAAATTGAAATATACTAGGCCATATCACTCAGCTTAGACAGGTAGATGTTAGTTTCATTTCAGTTTCATATAATAACAATTTGTATTTATCATTGGTTTTCAGATTATATTAATAAACTCCTGGATGAAAATATTCTCTATATATTTCAACTATTACCCCGATTTACCATAGCTAAATGTGCCCGTGTGTGTCGAAGATGGAGTCGTATTGTGTAAGTATATATCCCATTTTTATATGGCCATGGTTTCCCTTGATTATAGAATCATTTATAGACAGCTCGGATGACTTAGCTACTGTGCGGTGTGTGTGTTTTAATGAATGGTAATTAATCTTTGTCCATCAATGAAAATATTTGATTTTTTTTTTACATACATGTACTTAGTGATAGATATACAAAAATTGTCAGTATTAATGTTCAGCACTTAGACTCATAACTACCAATGTCCAACAAACTTATTAGAGGGGTTTGGTCGCAGAATGGTTAACCTGTGCATGTTATATCATAAGGTCTTTCATTGAGTCAAGTTGTATGGTTTTGATTGCCTGTCCAATCTCATAGGTTTTCTTTGAGTCCTCCGCTTCCCTCCCACTGCTAAAGACCTGTATGCCCAAGCGAATTATTGAAATAAAAAGGAACCGTATGTTAGTCCCAAAATGACCTAGTTTGTGTCAGTGGATGTTAAACCCCATTTCTCTCTTGCTAACCAGTTTAACAGAGTATAGATTATAAGTGCTATTCCATATGCATATACTAGTTCAGCACAATATTTTTTACAATCTGAAAAAACTGTTCTGTAATAAGGGTATTGATGTTTTATATATTTTAGGAGAGAAAAAGCTTTATGGAAGAAAATAGATCTATCTAATAAAACTCTGGGTGCCGGAACATTGGGAAATGTTGTTCATAGAGGTGTCAAGGTTTTAAGATTAGCAAAATCAGAGGTAAGAGACAATTAACTGTTATTATGTACGTATGATTAGAAGAAGAGTTAGGGGACTGGAAATGCTGCTCTCTAGGCAAACTGGTCCAAAATTTTCCCCTTTTGGATTTGAATATGTTGTGATCCATGCTAAAGTAAAAATTACCCCTTCAGTCCAACCTATAAGCCAGAAAGATACCCATTGAGTTTCAGAATAATCTTATCTGGCTGGATTTGTGCAGAGCTGATATGAAATATTTAGAATGTTTCTATTTCGTATCTTATATTTGATAAAACTGTTTGCTTTTAGATCTTAGCACCAATGAACCTTGAGCCTACTAAAGATAGAGAAAATTTAAGGTAAAGTTTAAAAAAAAAAACACTGAAAAAATACTGTTTTCATAATAATGCCCACAAGAGTATAAGCAGATGCTCGATTGAGCATTTTTTTTTTATCCCTGGGCGGGAGTCAATAGAGTGTACACACAGATTTCGGGCAACAACATATACGCCAATTAAATGTAAAACCATCTTAACCAATCAATGTAACCAGAACTCTATAGCATAATTTTGTGTTGAGATGCATTAAGTTATGGTGATTATTCAGTTAACAATTGTGGATAATGTATAGTTACTAAAATCAGTCATTGCGACTTGACTAGATATATGATTGGAAACTGTTTTTGTTTATTTCAGTATGTCATCTCTACAGTATTTAGACCTGAGTATGGCAACTGTTTCAACAGATATATTGGAACAGTTATTTTCTATCTGTCATAACCTTAGAAAAATCAGTTTAGAAAATTGTCAGCTGAATGAAAAAATTTGTAGGTAAGTATGAAATGAATGTAATGTAATTATCCAGAAGGAAATCAGTGGTTCAGGGTAGAGAGCCTGGCAAGGAATTGTCTAGTCACTCGGATGGGACAAAACACTGGTCTTAAGCACTGAGCCACTGTGGATTCCTAATGACTTGAAAATTCAGTTATCTTTATAATTATGGTTATGTCACTAAACTTGATACTAAAAGTTGACTGTCATTTTTTAAATACGTACAAAATTCAATAAGGTATTATATCCACAATTATATATTGCAGGCATTTAAAATTTCTCACATATTAATGTCTTTTTGTCTGTTTTCAGTTATATGGGTCAGAACAGAGAATTGGAATGTCTTAATTTAAGTATGTGTCAAGGATTAAATTGTGATGCTCTTGAACCTATTATGACAAATTGTAAACGGTAAGTTCACCAATCACATTTTGGATAAATTTGCACAATAATAAGAAACATTTTCTCTGCTTATTTGGTGTGCTCAATTGTGAAGCAGGAAAGTTCCGTATTGATGGAATTACATATGAATGACACAGAATTGAGTACTGTCACAGTTCTGCCAGTCTGGTAAACAGATGGTGAGAAACAAATTCTGCTTCAGGTATTGTCATTGGTTGAGATAATATTCTGTTTACTCAATTGACATCTATTATGATTTCATTCCATTCTGTCGAGTATCCATATATTGTTTGTTTTCCATTCTTAAAGCCTTGAGGGGAGGGGTTGGGTAGCCAAATGGTTAACCAGTGCACGTTGGATTAGAAGGTCTGTCATTGAGTCAACTGGCGTTGTTTTGATTTCCTGCTTGTACGTGACAAGGCTAGGTAGGGCATGTCCAACCTCGTGGGTTTTTTCCGGGTCCTTCGGTTTCCTCCCAGTGCTAAAAACTCCTACGCGCAAGCTAATTACAGAAATAAAATAGAACCATTTGTTAGTCCCGAAATAACCTAGTTTGTGTCAAGTGGATGTTAAACCCCATTTCTCTCTCTCTTAAAGCCTTGATTTTATGTTAGACAAACCGTTTTAAGAGAATTACGTTTTCTGTATTAAGACCCCCAAATTAAAATATATTTGAAATGTTGTTGTGTATTACAGGTTAGAATCGTTAAATATTGGTTGGACCTGGTTAGATAGAGCATCTATTGTTTATTTATCTGATTCGTTTCCTACATCTTTATGTAAATTAAATTGGAGTGGTTGTAGAGAAAATATTACTGATGATGGTATGTTTATGTAAGCCATGGCTTTTTTTTTGTTTTTTTTTTTCATTTTTCACATTAGGATCTGGAAGAGCTTTTTAACAGTGTTCTGTTTAATGTGGGAGAATTGGCAGATAAAATGGTCGAAATTAGGGGATTCACGAATTGATTAAAGTTAAATATAAATAGACCACATAATTCAAAGTTCAACTATATGACCTCTGACATTATCCATTTTCAGAAATATTTGTTTGGTTGAAGTAATCTACATATCCAAAACACATTAACCTTTGGTAATTGGAATTTATAGAAATGAAATGAAATGGGGTTTAACGTCCTTCTTTTCTGCTCCGACTGGGCTAAAGTAGACGGGCATACGCCATGCAGTGTGCTATGAGGGAAATTTTGCCCGGGCAGCTGCATTATGGCCTACTCTTATATTGAATCCCAACTGCCAAGAGATCTTTTATGTGCATTCCAATGTATACATGGGACCTCAGTTTTCTGTCCCATCCGAACGACTAGTCAGCTGTCCTTGTCAAGCTCTCTATCCTGCACCACTGACAAGGGGAAACCACATCGGAAAATCCTGATGAACTTTTTTGGCCAATGCAGGGATCGAACATGCAACCTCCAGGCTAGCAAGCCAGCATCATACCTACTTAGCCACCGTGGCTACAGGGAATTTATAGAAGTGTAGTTGAAAATTCCTTGCATTGTACATCGTACCATATTAAATGAAGATTAACATTTGCTTTTTTTCTTGTATTTTCAGAGGTTGTAGCTTTAACAAGAAACTGTAGTAAATTAAAAGAATTAGATTTAAGTGATTCTACTGTGTTATCTTGTCAGTCTATTCATATTATAGCAGAAAATATGAAGGAATTAGAACATTTAGCATTAAGCAGATGCTACCAGATTATTCCAACAACTATTCCGTAAGTTGTTATTTCTCTTATTAACTTATTACAGAACTATAACATATTAGTGATTCGGCAAGTTCTATATGAAGGAATAAAGATGAAGGGAAATTTATTGATTTAAAGTTTCTGATGTCTGAAAAAGAACCACAAACTCAATTGAATATTTGAATATCATTTGAAAAATGGATATTCAGGTAGTATAATCAGTTACCCCTACAATAGTTCTTGTTAATTAATGAAATGAAATGGGGTTTAACATCCTACTGTTCTGCTCCGAACCGGGTTAATGAAGACAGGCATACGCAATACAGTGTGCTATGAGGGAAAATTTGCCTGGAGAGAGGCCTACTCTTATATTGAATTTGAACTGTCAAGGGATCTTTTATGTGCACACCAATGTGTACACGGGATCTTGGTTTTTCATCCCATCCGAACGACTAGACAGCTGTCCTTGTCAGGCCTTCCGTCCTGCATCATTGACAAGGGGGAAACATGCCGGAAAATCTGAATGAACTTTCTTGGCCGACCTCCAGGCTAGCGAGCCAGCATCTAACCCACTTAGCCACTGTGACACCCTATTGATTTATGTGATTGTTTCAACATTATGGGGGTTGGGTGGTCGATTGGTTTAATGCCTGTATGATAGATCATAATCATATGGTCTGTTATTGAGTCAAGTTGCATGGTTTAGCTTCCCCACTTGTACTTGACTAGGAGTAGAGTCACCTGTCCAACCTCGTGGGTTTTCTCTGGGTCTTTTCGTTTCCTCCCATAGTTAAAGACCCCTACGTGCAAGCGAATTATTGAAATATAATTGAACCATATGTTAGTACCGAAATGACCTAATTTGTGTCAAGTGGTCATTAAACTCCTTTTCTCTCTTAATTTTTGTCACAGAGATGTAAACGTCTTACTTTATCACAACAGATTTTATTTTTTACTTTCAGAGTTTTAACAAGAATCAAATCATTGGTAGCTCTAGAAGTTTACGGAATGTTACGTGAAGTATATCTGACACATTTACAAGACACCATGCCACGTATAGAAATTAACAAATTCCCCTTTTCTAGTGTAGCTCGACCAACTACAGGTGTTCGTAGAACGAGTATCTGGGGTATTAGAGTGAGAGAAAATATCGTCTGAGGACAAGATTTGTTATACAGAGGAAATTCTGTCTTGAGTAATGTTTCTGAATACAAGTTGGAATTGATTTTGAATCTTTGCAATTTTATTGAAGTTATTGTACATTAAATCATCTATCATAAATCTAACTTTGTAAAATGATATTATGTCACAAAAAATGTTCACATTGACTAATTTATTTTACATTGTCATCCTTCATAACTCAGTGTTTGTAAAATGTTTATCTGAAGAAACTCAAAACATGTCTTCTTTAGATTTTATAATTCTGTTAAATGATTATCATTTTCCGACTCCTCTCTCAAATAAATTGTTTTTCAAATACTAACACATTTTTAACCTTTCTACTTATTAATACTCCTTGAAATATTCCACAAACAAGTTATAACCTGAAATTACACATTTATGCCACGACCATCCATCGGGCTGTCAAACTCTACATACAACATTTCCTTGTGAAATATTTTCAAATTCTCAGGGAATTTTTTGTTTTGAGGAAGAACCCTATCTCGAAAGAATGTTTTGAGACTTAATGGAATTGATCATTGTCCATCATAATTAGGATATAATATGTTAATATGTTTATTCATCTAAATATTTGATCATTAAATTTACTATATATTTATATTTTCATAAAAGTTAATATGCATGGGGAAATAATTTCTTTAATATTCTCTTATTATAATAGTTCTTTAGGTCGTATTAATAAATTTATTTAAGTTATGCATGGGGGTCTTGTGGTCTAATGCATGCACTTTTAGATCATAAAATCTGTCATTGAGTGATTTAGTAAAGTAGGGTGGTTCAGTCCCAAGGAGTAGGTTAGCCTACCCAACCTCATGTGTTTCCCTGGGTCCTCTGGTTCCCCCTCTTGCTAAAAACCCCTATCATGTTAGCCTAAAATGACCTAGTTTGTGTCGATTGGACGTTAAAATCTCCCTTTGTCTCTCTTTAGGTTACAGTAAGCTTTGTAACTGATGTTTCATCTAGTTGATTTATACTGATTAATAAATTATATTCAAAGTAATAAATTTAATTTAATAAACATATGATTGAAATTAAAGAAATAATTGTATTATAATAGTAATATTACTTCTTGGATTATATTGAGACAATATTCACTCCAAAGTTTAGCAAATTATTTTCTGTTTTCTTAGATAAAGACAGCGTTTCTTTAGGTAGATTTACTTTTAGTTGTTAGAATTTTTTTTAGTTGTAGATTAAATGTTTTAAAATAGCAGAAATGAATAAGACATCAATGTTTTATAAATCAAAATGTTTTGTTTAAAAAAAAAGTTGGAATTTTTTGTTCTTGCTCTTCGACCAATAATTTAATCCTGTATATTAAGATATGTAGTGTAAAATAAGCTGTATTCATAAGCTTACTATATTCATGGACTGTAATGTGAATTTGAGATGTACCAAACCCTGTGCTTGACAAATATAACGTTACTCTTAGGTTGTCAAAAATAATGTACCATATCCAGAAAAATTTATAAGCTTGTTGTATACTCATAGATTGTAATTTGAATTTTGGGGTCCGCCCTCACGTCGTCAGAAATTGTGTACCATTTCTAGAAATATTCATAAGCATGCTGTGTAATCGTCATATGTACTATCAACCTGGGCCCTTATTCACGAAAACTTAAACTAAGATACAATCGAAATTTTAAGAAATAATGCAATTCGATTGGCTGACCAATATGCAAATTGGATATATGCAAATTGATTTTACTGGTCAGCCAATCGAATTGCAGTATTTCTTAAAATTTCGATTGTATCTTAGTTTAAGTTTTCGTGAATAAGGACCCTGAGCTCATCAAATATAGTGTACCAGAAAAGTTCATAAACTTGCTGAATAATTATAAAATGTATGTGAACCTAAAAAACTTGTGTATTACGATTTATCAGAATACAATTATGGTATGATTGAATAACTTGTATACTTTGATGTCAATAATCAATTAAACCACACAATTCCAATACATTTTTGCTTGTTTTTCATAAAAAGATTTGTGTAAGATGGTTTCATACTAACTTGAAAGCATCTCCAAAATGTCAAATCTTTACAAACTGTTACTGACTTGTTCACAATGGGGTGAACAATATTTTTTAAAATGATGCCCCTTTCTTTGATTTGGGTCAAAAATGGGGTGCTCTATTGACAGCATGGGACGCTCTATTGACAGCATGGGACATACGGAATTGACAGAATTGCAATTATGCATGCCTTATCATTCAAATTTCTTGCATTGGCTGAGAAAGTTTATCAGGATTTTCCGACGTGGTTTCCCCTTGTCGGTGGTGAAGGATGGAGGGCCTGACAATGACAGCTGTCTAGTCATTCGGATGGTACGGAAAAACAAAGTCCTGTGTATACATTGGCATACATGAAAAAGATCCTTTGGCAGTTGGAATTCGATGTAAGAGCAGGACATAGTGCCACTGCCTGGGCAAAATTTCCCTCATGGCACACTGTATGGTGTATGCCCCTCTTTATTAGGGCAGTCGGACATTAAACCCCATTCCATTTCATTTCAAAATTTCTGCGTATACCTCTATTGAAACCTTTCGTACACATAGGGCTTTGGCTTTTCATCCCTTCCGAGCGACAAGTTGCCTTTCCTTTACAGACCCTCCATCCTGCAGCACTGAGATGGGGAAACCAGAATGCAAAATCATTACAAATATTCTAACCAAGTGGATTGAACCTGGGCCACCTGGTTAGTGACTCAGAGTATACTCACAGAGTCACTGTGGATCACTTCGGACCCGTGAGGTCCCCATAACATCTGATGAAGAATAAACCGAACAGTCCAAAATTTTCAACTAAACATTTAAAGACTTTGTATATTTTAATTTATTTACAACTGAATATACATGGTACCACTATCACCTCTTGTTATAATTATCTGTGTGTAAATAGTTCAATTTACGTGGATCATAACCATAAGCTTTAACACGACTATCTGATGCATTCGCAGATTTCTGAACCTCCGACATCTGTCTCTCTCCACCTTCGTTATTTCTATCTGCTCGGCCTTTATTTCTAAATTTCTTATTTTTATTTTTTGATGAGGATGTGAACCGAGTTTGTTTCTTTTTAATCTTCTCTTGAATCTTTTGTTTGGATTTTTCATCGACTTCGGCAACGACCTTGGGATCAATACCTTCCCTGTAAATATAGAAAGACGAATGTCAGGAAATAGTGGTTGCAATTAACTAATAACTACGAGGAGTGAGGTGGGCAGATACTTCATGTAAATGCCAACAAACAAATGAAATATGTGACCGGTGCCAGCAAAATCAATCGGAAGTTGCATTCATTCATTTTGCACAATATGTTATTATATACAGCAGTCGGTGGTTAAATTATTGATTTTCAGTTATCATCACCAAACAATAGTTTGAAATGTTTTCTTTAAGAATTCTAAATCATTTTTAATTATTCGAACCCTAAATACCTCAAAAATTGATTTTAATAAGGGATGTTGAAGCATACATGATCAAGATTCCCCTTAAAACAATCGAAATTAGTGGTCTATTTTACATCAAAGTGCATTTTAAAGCCTGTATAGAACTCAATTTTGATGAAGTGACCCAAGTGACACATGTCCACTCTCTGCTCATAGAGAGTCAATGCTCTTTGAGAAAAAGGCCAGTACTAGATCCACTCACAGTTTGCATTCTGTCAGCGAAGGATGTGCACCTGCATATTTACACTCCTCTCCCTAAAGACCACCCCTCTTTTGGAATCTATTTTCTTCAATCAAATATATTATTTACCTTAATCCTGGCATTAAATTTAACTTTTTCACCATAGACTTTCCTCTCTTCTTATATTTTATTTTCTCTATTCTTTCTTCTTCTTCGGTTCTAAAAAAAGGAGCAATAAGATAAATGTGAAAAAAAAATCCTACTTTTATTTCAGAAAGTAATATTGAGAATGTGGCATTCTGGGGCTTAAAAATGTCAGTTGTTGGTGTCCTAGTTAAAATGACAGAAAAACATACTGAACTTTATTCTGGTTCATTTTCAGTGTCAGAAGTACAGAACAAAAACAGATCAGTTTTACTAGTTCGTTTCAATTCACAGGACATTAACAAGTAGTAACAAAACTCATCATGATATATACTCCTATGACTAGGTCGAAATAGAGGGATAAATTTTGGAAGTCTGGGTTGGGTATATACTGTTTAGGTTGTAGTCTTACAAACAAGGTACATGAACTTGTGACCTTGCCCCTTGAAACTGATAAGCTTTTCCTTGTCCAGTAGAGAACCTATAATGTTACTGTGCAATATTTCAGATATAAGGCATTAGGGTATTTATGAACAGTGATGAAGATAGCACTACTTACAGGTATGAAACAACTTTCTGTGTTGTTGCCCATTTATTTAGATCTTTATCTGGTGCAGCTAAAACCTGAAACAAATTATACATTCACCCCAAATTAAAACAAACCAACAATAATAAAATATTGGGCCTTAATTTATATAATCTATATTTTGTGATTTTGTTAATGTCATTAACTCTGGAGCAATGCTATGCAGTGTCATTATCTAGTGCCTAACAGGTTAAAGGGAGGAATATTGAAACTGTCTGTTGTCTTTCCCGGGATTTTGTTTCCAGACATAATGTTTCTCCGGAATCACGCAAGACTTCTTTATGAAACTTTGTACACACATCACCCTTTTCTCAGTTTAATAATTTTTGTGTTTCCTGAAAACAAATTCGACTGTGGAATGTTGTTGATATGGCCATCTTGTTTTTATATTATCCATCTATACCAGTCAGTCAATATTTGTCATATTTATCTGTATTTATTAGTTTTTAGGTTAAATTTGTTCAAAATCTATTCTTATTGCATGTAAATTTACTGAGAATGTCACTGCCAGTCAATCAAAACTCGCAAATATACCCCTGTTCTGTATATATCTAATTAAATTAACCCAGTCAAAATTAAAGTGTTTCCGATCAAAATTTAAAGTTACCTCTTCAATTGTTAAACCAAAATCATTAGCTTCTGTTTTTCTATATTTATATCTACATGGCATATCTCCTATCACATCCTCAAAATCTAATTTATAATATTCATCAAAATATTCGGGAAAAGATTTTTCATCTGCAAGCAAAAATATAGAACAATATGAATATTTCTTCTCAGTCAATCAAATATACATTATTTTGGGGACAATATTATCTTATACTAGTTCATCAAATTAAAGATACATTATGGGAGATTAGATAAAGAGCTGGTAGTTCTCACTATAATAGTTAAAAACTAGATAATGTAAAGGGAATTTGCTGAAAATTTCAGTCAAATTGATCCACCCTGAACCAAGTATTTAGCGATTGAATTTTGAGCCTAGCCTCGAACAGTAGCAGCAGACCGGGTTCTAATACAGTAAATATCGCAGGCTAGCGATGCCATCCAGAATTGATTATGGTCTGAATAAGTTAATTAATGTCTAATTAATAATTTAGATAACATTTCAGACCAAAAGAAAGACCTGCAATAGACAGATTTAGCTCTTACATAATGTATGTTTAAATATACATGTTAGGTAAATAGGATATATCTGATATCTTCCAGCCATCATACATACTTTTATCTAATATTTTAAATGACCTGAAGAATAAATTTAACCTCAAATTGTCTAATAAGCGTGTGATAAATCAAACACTTAGAACCAGCGTTCGGACCTCAGACATTTTAATATTGTAACCTGCGATCATCTATTCACATGTTAAATATCGTACAATCACATATCCTGTATATTGGAAGATTTGTTAATACTTGGTAAAATATGCTTCTCTGACGAATTTTATTGGATATAAATCATGTAAACAGAAATGAAAAGATATAATGCTTCTTTGTCACTTTAACCCCGAAGCTTACAACCATGGATATATTTTTTCATAGCAACAAATATTATAGTTTTCTTGGGGTCATACTCACAAAATCTTCAACTAAAATATTTTAAGAAAGCAGCCTTTCAATTCAGAGGAGCTAATTGTAGGCCAGTTTGGGTGGTTTGGGAATTTCCAGAGTCCACTATGGCCGCTTTATATAAATGAGTATTTTGGGGAATACTAACCCTCTCCCTAACCCTTTTAAAAGACTGATCCAATTTACCTTTTAGCCCTATAAAAAGGGTTAGAGTTAGGATTAGTATTCCACAAAATACTCATTTATATAAAGTGGCCACAATTAGAATCTCCCCTTCCAATTACCTAATAGGTAAACTTTTTACTAGGATCTTAACACTCAGCTAATGAAATTGCAGTACAGTTCATGTTTTTGTGAGTTAAGCCCCTGTTAGCTTGAAAATATAATCAAATCACATGAAATCTAGAGTACCATGATAAGTTTATTTTTAACTAACCTGGATCAAACAGCGGTTTCTTTCTTTTAACAGCTTCTGTAAATTTAGATTTTTTCTTCTTTTTTCCGACACGTAAATCTTGACTAGGATCATAATCAGCATCCATCTATAATCAGAACATATTGTTTATTTATCTATAATTTTCTTATAAACATTACAGAAATGGAATGAAATGGGGTTTAATGTCCTAGTGTTCTGCTCCGACTTGACTAATGAAGGCAGGCATATGCCATGAGTAAAATCTTCCCCAGATAGCAGCGCTATGGCCTACTCTTATATCAAATTCCAACCGTCAAGGGTTCTTTTACGTGCATGCCATGAGTAAAATCTTCCCCAGATAGCAGTGCTATGGCCTACTCTTATATCGAATTCCAACTGTCAAGGGTTCTTTTACGTGCATGCCAATGTGTGCACAGGACAACAGTTTTTCATCCCATCTGAATGACTACGCATTGTCTCTTGCCAGGCCTATCTGTCCTACAGCACTGAGCTTTCTTGGCAAATGATTATATGTTGTCTCTTGCCAGGCCCTCCGGCCCTTCATCCTGCACCACTGACAAGGGGGAATCACGCCAAAAATTCCTGATGAAATTCAGGGTTTAAGGTCCTTCATTAACTAATGAAGACAGGCATGCAAAATGTAGTGTGCCACGACACCAGTGTTTCCATCTGCTCTTCATTAAATACCAACTATTTAGGGATCTTTTACGTGTATGTCAACGAGTACATAGGTAGACTTTTTTTGTCTCATCCAAACGACTAGACGATTTTCCTTGACTTGCTTTTTCATACCATCATATTTTTGTCAATATTAGCCATTCCTACGAATCAAAACAGTGCATTTAATTACACTGCAGCCTCTCTGAATATCACTATATTTAATTGATAATTTAATCTTTTACAGTGTTATAATATATCTTCTTACATTAAAATTAGAATCGTCAAAATTGACATCTTCACTTGTGCCTGCTCCATTATATTCTTCTTGACTTGGGCCTGCTCCATTCCAATCTTCTTCTGAAAATAAAATACCGTAATTTAGTTTAGGCCTGTATTGCATGTACTCCAGTCAAATAGATTTCCTATTTTAAAGGCTTCAGGACATAGGGTGTTTCTGACCACTTTTCACATAACTCTTTGATGAAACTTAACTTGGTCCATCTTTACAAACATTGAATTTAACTTGACTATCTTTTTTCGCATAAGCCCAAAAAGAGTACCTCGTTGATATCACAGAGCTTAGTTTAAGATACACTGCTTTAGTGCACATGATGTGATAGATATAAAATCATAAAGTTCGACAGCTAGCCAAGCCAATTCTAACTGACAAATTGTTTTTTTGTATATTATTATCTATCATTAATCAAACATTAGAATCCAAATAAATATATGTACATAATTTTGAATTGTACAAATATTGAAAAAAAAATTCAGAAAGAAAACAAGCCAAAGGTTGTGCTTCTCAGATAAAAATTATCTGATGACAAGACAATAATTCTCAATAAATCTTTTTGCACTTACCCATTCCAGCAATATCCTCATCTTCATCATCCTCAAAAGTCGGTTTCTCCATCTCCTCTTCTCGCTCATCATAATAATCTGTGTTAAATTTCTCTTCCATCATCTTGTCATGTTTTTCAGGATCGAAATCTTCTTCTAAATCTTGTTCCGTAAAACCAATATTTTCATTCCCCGTTATTTGTTTAATCTTTTTTATTTTTGCTAAAATTTCTTTCCTTTTGGTTGCTTTTAATTTGTTGATTTCTTTTCTTTTTTCTTCCTTTTGCTACAGAAAAGAAAATCCTTTTAAAGCTGTGATACACAAGAAAGCTAAGAAGATGACTTGGACATCAACATCCTACATCCTTGACTAATTTGTTTCCATGGAAACACAAAAATTATTTAACTGAAAAATTTATTTCTTTAAGTGGCATTTAGTAAATGAACAGTAACACACTAAAACTATTTATGGAATAACAATTACTGGTTTATTAACATGCAACATTTCGACGATGATACTCTTGTCTTTATCAAGCAAATGATGATAAAGACGAGAGTATCATCATCGAAACGTTGCATGTTAATAAACAAGTAATTGTTATTCCATAAATAGTGTTAGTGTGTGAAAAATTTAAAATTAGAAAAAGGCACAGCTACTATAATAGGTTGATGTGTGTACAAAGCTCTGTAAATAAATCTTTAGGGGCTCTTGCGAAATGCTCTGGAAAGAAAACAAGGATGGAAGGACAGAGTCCATTTCAATATCCCTCCCCTTATCTTCAAATCTGACAAAACTAAAGGACACGATGTTTGCTAGAAATTTGTAACTTTAAAAGAAAACACAAAGTATAAAGTTTCATAAAGATATTTTGAAGGGTTTATGAAATATGCTCTGGCAGATGGAGCACATTCAATATCACTCCCTAACTTTGTTCATTGCAAGATAAAAAGAGTTACAATTTCACCAGTTACAACAGATAGTAGGTTGACAGAACAGACATGCACAATACCTTTAATTTTCTTTCTCTGACATCACGGTTTTTATCAGCTCTTCTTGTGTCCTTCCGACGTACACTGTCTTCAACTTTTCTGGGAAATGTGGGGATCTAATAAAAAATATATCATGTTCATAATAAAACTGTTTAACTTTCAGTATAATTAGTCACCATTCAATACTTTTAGATATGTAATAGATATGTAATAGATATTGCAATAATTATTGCAACAATTATTGCAATTATTATTGACTAAACATGTCAATGAACATAAATAAGTTAAAAGATTCCATTACTTACTGATTTTCCACCCGGTTCTTCATATCTGTGTTTAGTTTTACCCATAAATTTACTGATATCTTGTTTTTCTTCATTTATAATTTCTTCATAAGTTGGTAATCTATTTAAAAAAAAAGGAAATGAGATAAGAAAATTTTATCCTTTAACTAATTACCAAGGAAATTTCTGTTTCTAGCAAGTGGTCGATTCTCAGGCAATGAATCTTTATTCGTTTACGTCCAAATGTTGGACATCCATACAACAACAGTTGGTATCATGACGTAGAATATAGGAGATACACAAAGAAAGCAAAACTATAGAGTCCTCAATACGAGCGGGCTGTGACCTTCACTTGTCCTGGTGACTTGGTCCAGGAACTCAGTGTGTAGGTCGTGAAATGTCATATGGTTTATAGTAGTAAATATTTGACAGCGAAGAAGAAAACAGTTTTTATTGACATTGAATAACAAATACTAAAATATCTGTTTGAATGGCTCTGAAAAACTAATTATTTGAATATTTATTTGAACTCTAGTGCCTTAGAGACAAAGTTTTTGACATTGTATACTGTGACCATCATTTAAGACTATAAAATTAATAAAATAATATCAACAAAGTCTATATGTGACTATCTTACCTAGTCTCTGCCTTTTTACTTATATATCTTTTATTTAAAAAGAAATCTGCTAAAAACTTTTCATTTTTATCTAAGTCTGGTTTATTCCATAATTTTTTCAGAGGTTTCTGTAAAAACAAGTGACTATATTGGTTTATGAAATAATAATGAAATGAGGTTTTAAAGTCTTACTTTTCTGCTCCATTCAGGATAATGAAGACAGACACAGTGTTCTATGAGGTAAATTTTGTCCATCTGTCAAGGTTTCTAAGTTTTTAAGTATCATCCGAACGACTAAACCAGGCCCCCCGTCCTGCTTCAAGCACAAGGGGAAATCATGTCAGATAATCCCAAGGGAATTTCTCTGACAACATTGCGATCATACCCAGAACCGCAAGATTAGTAAGCCAGCATCTTATTCACTGAGCCACCACGGCTCCCTGATATGATCAATCTGATTAAAACACAAATCCTATTTCATTTCGTTTTTTTTATAGTTCAAAATTTCGTTTTACTTGTCTTAACTACACGAGAATCTGTGGAAAAGTTGTTATATTACCAGCGTTTTAGTTGAAGTAAGGGATAAGCCAATGAAACAGTCTGTTACAGCGACTTCTTGGCGTGCCATGCACAGAACTGAGGGTAAACCACTAGAAATGCCAACGCTGATTGATTAATCAATGTCTAACGTCATAGGGTTTCAAAGCCACTCATACGACCCCTGACAAGACCTTCTTCGTGTAGTGTAGGCCATCGAAAGTATAAAAAAAACGAAACGAAATATAAATCTGTATTTTAATCAGATTGTGATATGATAATGCTTGTTACTGTTCTAATATTTAAATTTAAATATTCAATTGGCCATATCTTACCAAATCTTTCTTGACTTGTTTATCTTCTTGTAGAGACATTTTATCACCTTTCAACCAATTTACATATTCTTCTTCTTCCTCTTCCTATAATATTTAAATAGTTAATAATAAACTCATTCGTATAATATTCAAATAACCTTACAATACACATTTTTCATTAGAATCCTGTTAACTTTAATTCAGATGGACTCAACCAATATATCATCTGAAACATTTAATTTCACACTCTTGTATACCAGAAGCTAATTTAAATTTATTTCCATAGAGAAACACATAGAGACACAACAATGATTAAGTCAAAGAAATCTCTAATTAGCAAAAGGCACAATTACTATAATATGTTAATGCATGTACAAAGTTACATGAAGATGTCTTGAACAGTTTATAAGATATCCAACAGAAAAAAAAATCAAACCGGAACTGAAGGGTGGGCAGAGAACGGATCCCATTTTAATATCCCTATTTCCTCCCTTACTTTTGTTCAGCGTAGGACAATGAAGGTTTGTTTAATAGTTGATGTTCATGTACTAGTTTCTATAAGAATAAGTTACTAACCAGGCAATTAACTGAATAGAAAGTTAATTACAATAATATGAATTTATGTAATGGACAGAAAAGAATGTGGGACTAAATCAAAAGAAAAAATTAGAAAACTGACCTCCTCTACTTCTGTTTTTTCACGTTTCTTTAGAAAATCATCATCACCCGATTCTTCTTCTGAATCAATTAGAGCTGCTTTTAAACTGTTTCTAACTTCATTCTGTTCTTCAGAATTAACAAATGATGTTGATGCCATTTCATCTTCCTCATCAATAATTCTGAAATATATGCCAGTAATCATTGATATCCACAACATAGAATGCTTAAACTAAAATATTCTAAGAATGCAACCTTTTAATTGGCCAAAAGCTAAATGCTTATAGGTCCTTTAATGGACAATTAGTATTCTTAAAATATTTTAGATTATGCTTTCATGATTAGGGCCAAAATATAAGGTCTGATGTGTTTAATTTAGTCTTTAAGGAACGGTACTGTAACATCAATCAGTCTTGGAGAGGGGTTCTATAGGCTTCTCCAATCCACTTTCTATGAATAAATATTGTTTAAAAAAAAAATCAATCCATCTTTCAGGTAACAAACTGGTATGTCCACAAACGATGATCTGTCATCAGTGTTATCATGATTATTTTACACTTTACGATCACATACAGTATGTTTATTCTTAATACTTGAGAACTTATGTAGTTTATTATTTCATCAAAACATTTAATTGGAGGAGAATCTATGTTACCCTTTCTTCTTAATTAAGACATCTTTCTGATAATCTCTCAGTAGAAAAGGTTTATTTTTCTTTGATTTCTTTGGTGTAGGTTCTTCATCTGAAGCGCTGTCCGATGATGTATCTAAATAAAGAGGATATGATGTGTGAAAGACTTTAAATGCAGCTATGTGATAATTTTTAAAAGAAACGCAGTCAGTCAGTTTTTTCTTATGTGTAATGATAGTTAGTTACCAGTGTTCTTATTTACATATCTGTGGCAGGTAAAAGGGAGGGAGAGAAATAGGGTGTAACGTCCCTCCTACTCCCTCTAAAAGGGATAATGACTTTGTATGTCTTCAATAACATTAATAGCAGAAGAATTTGAAATCAAAATTACTATTCTTGTGCTTTCCCTGGCATGTTCTCACTAATTTTTTGTTGAACTTATATAGAATTTTGAGGTTTTAATTTTGGTAATCATTTCTTAATGGCTCAATATTTTAAGTTGCAACTTTCATGCAAGGCAGTTAACCATTTTGGCATCCAATTTGCATATTTAAACCAAACTGAAATCTACAAGTTCACCTTTGAATCACTCACATAAGTGTGTTAAGATACATACCATAAAATTTAGCATTTTTATCATGAATTTTAGGATCATTTGTTTTTAGAGCTGCCAAGGTTCTGTACCAATCTCTGTCAACTTTTGTTGTTAATGCCTGCAATAAACTAGATAATTTACTCATTCTACTACCCAAGTGAATTTTATTTTTGCTTCACTGATTCAATCACATTTATCTGCTGTACTGGCTCATATATAAACTAGTTTTATGATATGTGACACAACCAAAGTTTTTGTAGAATATATGAAACTATTCTAAACTATTGTTGTAATACAACAAATCTCGTCAATTACATGACAAGGCTCTTCAATCTGACACGTGACAAATTGAAAGTAGAACAAATTCGTCTGCTTACAGTCAATATTTTGACATGGCTATGAATCAGATACAAATCGTATCACAACATCTGAATCACAATATAAATCTTGTCGAGACTGCAGTCACAATATGTTACACTAATTTGAACTCCTGATTAAAACAAAATTTATCATCACCTCTGCATCTTCATCTTCTGATTCGGATGTACTTGAATCTGTATTTGAATCTAGGTCAAAATCTACATCGTCTTCAAATTTATCAATCACTAAAAAACATGTCAGTTAAAGATACATTATGTTAGATTAAGATAAAGAAAAATATATCGAAAATTTAAATAAATTTCTTTATTCTGAGCGACATTATCAAATATTGTTTATTATCATAGCAATGTTAATTGTTAATCAACATTCAGCCTCTCTTCTCCATTTTTAAATTAAATCATCATAACGGCAATAGAATATACTAACTCAGAGGCACATACTGTACAGTAAAGGATATAATTATACTAATTATAGTACCATACGGTACCATTTTATTAAAATATCGTACAATAAATATTGTTAATCTTTTTTAAATGTAACATTTTTCAAAAAGACCTAACCCATAACATTATTATCTAGAACATGAAATATTATTAAATTAGATATCTCATTTATTTTCTAGATCACAAGACATGATTATAAGGTAGGCTACACTAGTACTGCCGTACTAATACACTACACTCTGAATAAATATGAATTGTCCTATTGATTTCTTCAGCTAAATGAAGATATGAGAACACAAGTATCATTTCCTCACATTCTTTAACTTCCTTTTTATTTTCTTCTTTCCTCAAACGTTTTTTAGAATCTTTCTTTGCCATGATCAGTTAAAAATGTTTATGATCTGTCTAAAGAAATAACCATTTTAGAATTAGGTAAAATTCTAATGTAAAATAAATCGAAACGAAATTGTAATATCTATTTTGAGCTTTATCATAAGTTAAGTACTTGTTAATAAATATGTTGAAAATCACATATATATATATATGTAATATGTTAACAAAATTTGTGTTTTTGAATATATATTGTTTTATCTGCCTCTTTTTTTTGTGAGTCGTTTCCACTTTATTTCCCAAGCCTAAATATTTTCAACTTATAAACAAATATGGCCGCCCCCATGAAACGTGTTTTTGAAAAATAATTATTACACGAATGTTACAAATTTGGTTGTAAATTTAGACATGCCATTATGCTAGTTAAAGACAGATTTTACTTTATTTTGCTGAACTCAACCATATTTTTGATTACATTTTATGCTTTGTTCTTAAAATGCTTCTTTCCAATGAAGCAGTCAAGAATCGGGTTTTCTAACAAGAGTGATCTCCCCTTAGTCTCCAAAAATATTAATGGAACACCCAGTTATAAAAGTTATGACCATTTGATTCTTATGGTTATTGATGCTATGAGATCAGATTTTATACTAGGAAAAGAGACACATATGAAATTTACCCGACATGCCATTAGAAATGGTCATGGATTGAATTTTACGGCTAAAGTTAACCCACCAACAGTTACTTTACCGAGAATCAAGGCATGTACATACATTTGTCATTTGCATATCTTAGTTTAATTATTAAGTTAGATAATGTCATCTTTTCTTACTTTTCACAATCAATCCCCACTTTTGAGAGGTGTGTGACTAGCAATTGAGGGTTACTTACAAATGGATAGTGTAGGCTACGTCATATGAATTATTGCAGGCATGTACGTCCTGAAGCAAAATTCTCCTTACTATATTGTCCAGAAACTTGATTAGCTTAACACCATCTGATGTGTTGATGACAGATCAAACTCTTTATTTCAGAGACTTTATCATTGATAGAGTAAGCAAATCATCACCATGAAGTCACATACATTTGCTCTATAAATTGTACTATTTAAAGATGTATATGATTAAGAATTTGCTCCTGGAATAACGATTAATGCTCCCTAATTTGAAATCTATGATAAAGTAGAAAGATAATTAATTGACCTGTTTACATTTAATAAAAATAAATATTTACTTATTATTATTAGGCTTTAACAACAGGAGGTATTCCCGGTTTTGTTGATGTTGTTTTAAACTTTGGTTGTGAATCTTTACAAGAAGATAATATAATAACTCAGATGAAGAGATGTGGTAAAAACCTGGTATTTTATGGTGATGATACATGGATTAAACTATTTCCACAACATTTTATACGAGAAGAAGGGACAACATCATTTTTTGTTACTGATTATACTGAGGTAATTATTTCTTTTAGGTTGAGGATTAGTCTCTTAACCAATAAGCAGTACGTACATGTAAATATTGAGAACCCTGGTTCCTGGAAAAAATCTTTGAGAAAAGCTATAGGCCTATATCCCTGGACAGCCCTAAACCATCCGAAACTATTGTTATTTAGACTACTGTTATATAGCTCTCCATATTGTAGGATCATATATAGTAGAGCACAACAGCTATTAACATTCTTTCAGAGAGGGAGAAAAATGGGATGTAACGTCCACTTGACACAAACTAGGGCATTTTGGGATTAACAGGAGGTTTTTAGCACTTGGAGGAAACCAGAGCACCTGACTCATTAACAGACCTTCTGATTCAATGCACACAAATTAACCATTCGCCCCCCCCACCCCAACCACCACAATTCTGGTCGAAATACTAAAGGGTTAAGTGGTTGCAGTTATATTAAAAGCAGATTCCATTTTATTTTTATTTTTCACAGACATCTAAGGACATATTCATCAATTGTTTGTTCTCTTCAGCTTGACCTTAATTATATTGTAGCAATTTTATTAGCTGGACAAGAGTTTATGGCTTAAGACGAAAGCCTTATTGAATGCTTGATAACAACAATAAAACAGAATGTTCTCTGTATTTATAATTTAATGATCTACATATATATTTTTCAGGTGGACAACAATGTAACAAGGCATCTACCAGATGAATTAAATAAAACTGATTGGACTATGATGATTTTACATTATCTGGGATTGGATCATATTGGTCACATGTCTGGTCCCTTCAGCCCATTGATCAAACCGAAACTAGAAGAAATGGATCAAATAATAGAAATGATTTATAAACAGATGGAAATTTGGGTGAGTTATTAGCTTTCAGTTAGAGTATCACTGTCAGACTATCGCTTCTAGTTATGGATATACCAGAGTTGTATCATGCCTGGTCCCTTTTGTCCAGTGATCAAACTGAAACTAGAAGAAATAGATCAAATAATAGAAATGGTGTGTTAACATATGGAAATTGGGGTGAGTTATTATCACTGTCCAATTATCGCTTCTTGTTATGGATGTACCAGAGTTGTATCTTTAAAAATAACATGGAAACTAAATCCATGCAATAATTTTTTAAGGTAATTTTGTTATTAAGGCTTATGAATTTACAAAATATAAAACAAAACATTGTATACTATATTTTGTGTTACAATTTGTTTTTAATTTAGGATCAAAGGGAAGAAACTAGTATGATGGTAATATGTGGTGATCATGGAATGAGTGATCAGGGAGGTCATGGTGGAGCATCACAAGGAGAAACCAGTGTACCTGTTATATTTTTATCACCATCAATAAAACACTATAATAACGGTATGCATTTATATAATCATAAATAAGCGTGGTTTAAAGCTTGTGAATACACTATTCTCCATGTGCATTGCTATGAAATCATCACATGTGTCCTATACTTTCGACATCTTGGATAAATATTGCACGATTAGCGCTTCGCATGTACGATTATTTGAATTAATGGCTACGTCGACATCAAAGGATGATCTCACATCTGCATTTCTGTATTTTAAAACACTATAACAATGGTATTGTATTTAATGACAAATTTACAGGAAAACAACTTAATTAACATATAAAACATATACCGATAGAAGAAGAAATGTGAAAAATATCTAATAATGAGTGTAATTAAATTCAATGTCTACAGCAAATGCTTTTCTTTGTATAAAAAAATCAAAACCATTGCACCATGTGTAAGAAAGAAGATACCAATAACATTCAACACTTAAACGACAAACTCAGGCATGTAATCAAGGGGAATAACTCTCAGGCATGTAATCAAGGGGAATAACTCTCAGAAAGGGGCCACAGGAAATAATTCTGTGCTAAATTGAAGTACTAAGAATGTAATATAGATACGTAACCTAATTTATCAATTATTTGATTTTATCTTTGTTTTTCAGATCAAATGAAATTAAATATTAAACAAATAGATTTGGCACCAACGTTAGCTACATTGATGAATATACCAATTCCCTTGAATAATCTTGGAACAATAATATTAGACTCACTTATTGGTCTTACTACTACAGAGAAAGTTCAAGCCATCTTCTCCAATGCTTACCAAGTTTCCGCTTTACTACAATTCAGCATAGACAGCTTTGAAAAAAGTAATCTTTCTATATGTTATTTTACTTGTGTGGGTTTTCTGACCTTAGCATTAAGGACACACCTATTTACTGGCTCTTGCATTATCCTCACCATTTTAGAGTCCCTTACATTGAGGCCACACCAATTTGAGTTGGGTTTTTTTCGGCAACACCAAAGCTGACAAGTAAAGTTGTTCGGAATGAACAGAAAAGCAATGCCCACCTGTGTACACATTGGCATGCACCTAAAACAACCCTTGAGTAGGCTGAAATGCTGCTGTCCGGACAAAAAATACCATAAGTTTGTCTCATAAACTTGAAGTAATAAGTCACCTCACTCCAAGGACAATGTGTTATTCTTCCATGTCTATTTATTTTTAGATAAAGGTTACATACTTTATAATCAGACTAGTAAAAGATATATAGAATGGTTAGAAGATAAGGATACATTAAGTAAGATAGCTAGAGAGAATCAAGGACAATCTATTATTAACAATTTTATTAGATGTATAGAACTAATGACAGATGAGATACAAGAAAGCTCTACAGTATATGATATACATGGAATGATAGTATTTATTATCTTTATATGGTTGGTAAGTTATATATATAACAAAGTCAACCCTGGCTATATATGGGTAAAAGAGAGAGAGAATGGTCATTTCGGGACTAACATATGGTTCAATTTTATTTCAATAATTCGCTTGCGCGAAGGGGTCTTTAACAGTGGGAGGAAACCGGAGGACACAGAGAAAACCCAAGAGGTTGGACAGGCAACCCTACTCATTGTCAGGTACAACCGGGGATTCGAAACCAGCCAGTTAACTCAATGACAGGCCTCATGATATAGCGCGCACGTGCTAACCATTCGGCCATCCACCCCCCCCAATATGGGTAAAACACAAGCTACAATTTGCTTTATTAGCATAGCAGTTTATTGCTTTGTAGTATAAATTTGAAGAGCAATGATCAACAGTTTGGGTATTTTCCACCAATTTTTAATTCTATGATTCTGTTTTAACACTCTTTATACTATTTTTCTCTGTACGGGTATTTTGTGAAGCTAAAAGATTAAAATTTATGAATATTGTTTCAATGTCATTTAGTTATTGAACTGAAAACATACAGGAATACAATTATTGTTTATTACTAAGTGATGTTTAGTGTAGAAAATACTGTACGAAATTCTGACTCAGTTGTGGCAGTTATTTTTTTCTTATCTAAAGGGTTTTCTTATTTACAGATATTGGTATTATTGTTGATATATCAACCAGTTATTTTAAAGACCAGTGATATATGTAGTAAAATCTACACTATACTGATATCAAGTTGTGGTGTAATAATATTCATACATTTAACAGTTTGTACTAGTCAGTATAAGAGTATGTTGCTATGTAACAATGACAGTGTATCATCTATAACAATACAAGTGCTCGGATTGGGTAGTTTTATGTTGCTTGTCTATCAAATAGTCTCATTGTGGACGGGAACATTAAATAATCCACAAAACCATGTAAGTATTCTTTTTCCTAAATAATGATTAAATAAATGAGTAATCATATAGTAAGTGCAGGAGGACCGCACTACACGCAAAACAAAAATCTACAACCTGCGGACAAGACAGAAAATAGACATTGCACAAAATAAACAAATATCATGTATGAATGTAAACAAGATATTTAATGATTTACAAACTTATGATTTATCATTGTTATAAAAACATTTGGCTCGTAAGTGTGGCATTGACTCACTAAGCAGGACTTCCTGGGATTGATCGTAGTTTTGGTCAAGCAAGTTCATCTGGATTTTCCAGCCAGTTTTTTCCCTGGTTTTAGTGTTGCTGGTCAGAGAGCCAGGCAAGTGAAAGCGTCTAGTTGTTTGCATGTGAAGAAAAACCAAGATTCTGTGTATACCATTAGATGTATGTTAAAGATCCTTTGATAGTTGGAAATCGAAATAAGAGTAGGCCATTGTGCCGCTATCCAGGTAAAATCTCCCTCATAGCACATTACATGGCACATGCCTGTCTTAACCTATGGGCTGAGCGTGATGCAGCCCAGGGCCTCCAATTTCATTAACCCAACAATGAAATGCAGTTAGTTACACTGGTAGTTTAATATCTTTTTTTTTTCCATTTTTCTAATTTCATCAATTTGTTTATTTCAGTATAAACCAAGTAATATAATAGAATGTTGGTTATTAACAGGAACTATAATACATACTCTATCTCTTCTATCTAGTAGTTTTGTTGAAGAAGAACATCAGACATGGTATTTCTATGTTATTACGATCCACGTTTTACTACTATATCAAGTTATAAAACACATCGCTCTCGGTTACTGTGTCAACAACAGAATAATAAAACCTACAGATGCTGTCAATTATAATACAATATTAAAATACCCGCCTATAACAACTGTAAGACAACTTGACAAAGATGAAAGAAACATTCAGCGGCACAGAGTGTCGAATAATCAACAAAAAGTTGTCTGGTCAGATATGAAAGAATTTGTACAGTGTTTCATATCTCTACTTGTGATTTTGTTTATGTTGAGATTATCACGAATGTGGAATCAGACTGGTAATAAATGGTTAGATATTCCTGATTTTGGAGACTGGTTAATAAGGTAACTATTTTGTTCATAATAAGAAATAATCATAATAATGTAAATCCAAGCAGGGGCAAACGCAGATGATTCATATCTTGGGTGTGTGAGAGTCAGATTTTATTAGATACTAATAAAAAAGACAGAAAAAAGTCTTGGCCCAAAATAGCAATAAAATACTAATTCACCCAGTACTTGATTTGATTTCCACCTCCTTGGACAGTTCAGGAGTTCCAACAGTATACTGGCTATTTGACTCAAACCTAAACTTTACATTGATGTTCTTGGGGTTTTTTTTTTTGACTTATTAATATATTTCTTTCTTTTTCAGACCAGAGAATATGGAAGTACTATCAGTATTAACTGTAGTGAGTTTAATGGTGTTACTGGTATTACAATATACTGATTTAATACAGACAGTATTATTATTATCTAGTTTTATATCTACGTATTGTTACAGAGTGGCTACAACAAGTCTATATTTACCTATATATTACAACACTACATCAAAGTAAGATATACTTCTATATTAAAGTTGTTGAATATGCTTGCTTAAAATATGATTTTACTTTATGCTTGCTTAAAATATGATTATACTTTATGCTTGCTTAAAATATGATTATACTTTATGCTTGCTTAAAATATGATTATACTTTATATCACACACCTCTATTATATAATACACAGTATACTTTACACCTCTAATACACACAGACTCTATAATATACTTTATATCACACATCCCTATACTAAAATATACAATATACTTTACTCTCTAATATACAATATAATGTACATCTCTAATACACATAGACTCTCTAATATACTTTACACATCTAATACACACACATACTCACTCTGATCAGCAGTGAATATTCGCTAGGCCGCTACAATCACTGATAAGGATGACATCAATGCGACTTAAAGAGTCTCAAATATTAACTTTTTTCCACCGATAAATTAAATTCTAAAACATATTTTTGATGTATTAGAAAAATAAAAAAAGACGTTTTACGTATTTGTAGGTAAAAATTCTTTCCTATTTAGTGTAAATGGGTATTAAAATGACTAAAAGGCAGCATTCTGCCCGAAGCAGTAACGTCTTATGTAAACAATGCACGCGCCATTCAGCCAATGATTGACGCCACGTGCTGTGACGGCACGTGTTAAAGGCAGTCGTCTTTTACAGAGATATTAGAAGACTCGTAATTCTCTGTGAAACAGATTGACACATACTATCTAATATGTATTGTATCACACACCTCTATAATAAATACACATCTATATATACATTCTCTAATAATACGTTTTATATCATACACCTCTATACTATAATTCACAATAATACATCTCTTATACACACACTCTCTAATATACTTTATATCATACACCCCTGCTCTCTAATACACAATATACTGTACACTTCTAACACACATAAAGTCTCTAATATACTTTATATCATACACCCCATACTATAATACACAATATATTTTATATCACACCTCTATAATACACATTATACTTTACATCTCTAACTTTTGTATTATTCATACCTTAAATACACTGGATACTTTACACCTCTAATATAGTCTATATCATATCCCCCTATACTTTATATACCCCTTGCTCTATTTTCAGAGGTAGTTTTGAGGCAAGAATCAGCTTCTTTTGTTCAGCTTGTTTGTGTGTGGATTGTGTCTGGTATTTCTACAAGTGCTTTAAACATTCCAGCCCACGATATGTGAAAATTAAAGGATTTATAAAATTACAATCAGTGTGGATAGCTATAATGGTGTTAGATTTAAGACCACATAATATATCTTTAATAGCGCTGATGGTATTGGGTGAAAGACTTTTCAGTATATATGTCAAACCAAATATAATATTAAAGATTCCCTTCCTGACACTGTATTGTTATTGGATGGGACAAGCTGCTTTCTTTTATCAGGTAATAATTCAAATTATTTGTTTTAAATCAGGGATGGTAATTTTACATTTCATCAAATTCCAACAGTCAATGGTTCTATTACATTCATATCAATATGTATATGGGTGGACCTGTTTTATTTTTGTCCAATCCAAATGACTAGGCAGCTGACAGCCTCCTTCTGTTATGCAGCTCTTTCACATTAAGCGGATCACGGTTGGTAAGACGCTGGCTTGCTAGCCTGGAGGTCGGGTGTTTGTTCCCTGAATTGACCAAGAAAGTTTGTCCACATTTTCGAGTGTGGTTCCCCCTTGTCAGTGAAGCAGGACGTAGGGCCTGACAAGGACAGCTGTCTAGTCGTTCGGATGAGACAAAAAACCGAGGTCCCATGTACTCATTGGCATGCAAGGATCCCTTGACAGTTTGGATTCGATAAAAGAGTAGGCCGTAGTGCCACTGCAAGGGCAAAATTTCCCTCATAGCACACTGCATGGTGTATGCCCGTCTTCATTAGCCCAGTTCGGAGCAGAACAGTAGGACGTTAAACTCCATTTCATTTCATTTCATTTCATTTCATTTCATTTCACATTAAGATTTAGCATACTAGTAGTCATATTTATGAAAAATAAACAATAATCATATTATAGATGTCTTGTTTATTTTCTTAGGGTAATTCAAATAGTTTAACAACTATAGATGTTTCGGCTGGATATATTGGACTAGAGGATTATCAACCAGTCATAATAGGTGTACTCATGACGTGTTCAACTTATGCAGGAGTTGTATTCTGGTTTCTCATCTTGGTTAAATATTTATTAATAGATCAAAGACAGTAAGTACATGAAACTTATATTACCAGTGTCTTGTCATGATGATGATGAGGGATAAGTTGTCATTGAAGCTAGTTGTTTCCTCATAACTGTTTAAACCAATCTAATTAAAATATAGATCTATATTTCGTTTCGTTTTTTATACTTTCGATGGCCTACACTACATGTAGATCTAACAAGTTATAGTGGGATTTCACGTTTTATGACGTCAGGTACCAAGCAAGCGACATTTGACCCGATTACGTCAGTCATTCGATTAACCAATTAGCGACCGCCATGTATTTTTTATCTACTTTTGCTTTGTTTTGATTTCTATGGCCGCTAATGTGAACTATAAAAACGAAACGAAATTGGATCTGTGTTTTAATCAGATTGTGTTTAAACATGATTAACCTTCTGAATAGAAAAGAGAGGAATAGGGTTTAATGTCTTCTCAACACAACACTTTGGTTAGTTGAGACTAACAGACATTTATATTTCTTTCTACGAGGATGATTTTGCCGAACAGCGATGTTTCTGGCTATGCACATTTAGGATGGACCTAGGTTTTTCAATCCAAACAACTAGACAATACCGGCATTACCCCTGACATATATTTTTTTATATCAAATTATTTATAGAAAAAAACACATTGTAATCAAATTTTATATTATTAAAACATACATATACAATAAAAAATTTAACAATTGTAAAATATTATTTTGAACAATCACTTGAATTATAAATCTTATTATATTATCATAAATATTATTTTGAACAATCATTTGAATTATAAATCTTCCATTCATGAAAATACATAATATATAAAAGCATCTGTATTTCTACTTTTCAGGAATAAGAGAGATATATTAACAGCAGCTCATACTCTATTATTAATAAAATGTTTACCAATAGCTGTGTATATAATATTAGTCACTATTGAGAGGTATCATTTATTTGTGTGGACCGTTTTCTCACCTAAAGTTTTATATGAAGGAGCATTACTATTGTTAGTTTCTGTGTTTGTAATTATTTTATTAATTATTTCAGCATGTAAATCTGAACATTTAAATATACACTACAAATTAAAATAACATTCTGAAGAAAATATATTTAATTTCGATGTATATTGTTGTCACCTGTATTCATCGAACTTTCCTTATGAATACAGCTCTTGTTGCATTTTTTTCACACCTGCCGTTTTTGTAAGAAGAACCTGGTCACAAATTTCAGAGATATCTTTGGACTTATGAAATCTTCATAGAATTTTGTTAAAGCACAGTGGGATTGTTGATTAGAGTACACAGCAGAATTTTGGATTATAAATTTCAAATACATTTAATTTTTTTTCTTTATATCTTTCTGGTCAGAGTTTAGGATTGTAAATTTCGAACAAGTTTTGCAAAGTTTTTTTTTCTGTTCACATTTTTAGTTTTAAAACCTAGTACAGATAAGTTCATATGGATTTTCTAATAGTGATTATATTGAGCATGGATGATTTTCCTGCGGGGGGCTGTACATAGGGCCTGACATGCCCCTGTATATGTTTATGCAATTTACATCTTGAAAAGACCAAAAAATAGAAATACTGTTCAAGTATATACATACATGTACATTCAATCATCAATTATTTTACTTTACTTTAATATATTAATTGTAAATCTTTCTCATACAGTTCAATTATCTGTGATAAATATTGGGACACTTTTGTCATATACATATTTTTTAATATAAATTGTTTATTTTTTGTATAGCAATAAATTTGTTTGAAACCCTTTCCACAAATTGATTTATAATTATTTATTATATCAAAATGACTATCAATCTAAATCTAACTATTCTTAATTACATTCATTTCCATTACTCCTAATTTCTTGGCCAAATCAATCTGAAATACAAAAAGAAATCATTAATATCATTTCTGTCCATGGAGGAACATCTTTCTTTTTAAATAGATATTCTAAATTGCAAATTCAGATTTTTCTTGCACGATGAAACCACTGCATACTTTGTAAATTCTATTTGAAACTTTCGGACAAGGTAAATATGCTATTTCTTGACATTTTGGCATTTAATTTGCATTATAAACCCACTTTTACTTTGGGTGTACTGTCAAATCTGGAACTGACCGTTCTGTTCTTGTCAGCGGGTCAGTGTTTGAATTTTCTATGATTATTTTACATATACTATTATTAATGTTTTAAGTATCACACCTTTTAAATATTGAAACATTGAAGTAATACTTACACCAAATTGTATTTGGTTTGGATGATAGGGTATTCCCCCTATTTTATCACAGTTAGACATATGTTGTGTTTCAGGATCACCTGCTACTAGGACCTTATCTTCACCTTCTGCCTATATAGTATAATAGTCATAAAATAATTCCATGTTAACTTACAGTTTTTATTAAAGAACTGGCCACTTGTAATTGATTCGGAACCGCGGTGTCTCAGTGAGTAAAACTTTGGCTTGCTAACCTGAAGGTCCTGTGTTGTATCCTGGTGCTGGCTGAGTAAGTTCATCAAGGGACATTATATAGTTGTTTAAATGAGACGAAAAACGGAGGTCATGCATACACATTCGAATGCACAGAAAAGATCTCTTGACAGTTGGAATTAAATATAAAAGTAGGCTGTAGTGCTGCTGCACGGGCAAAATTTCCCTTATAGCACACTGTATGACTTAATCCCATTATCATTAGCTCAGTCGGAGTAGAAAATTAGGACACTGAACCCCATTTCATTGTCACTGATTAGTAAGTGATCTAATGCATGCACTCATAAGGACTGTTATCTATGACAATTGAGAAAATTGCGCAGTGAGTATTATGGGTCAAAATACTAATTCAGCAGTGTTTATTTCGATCCATAATGTGGTGGTAGGACCAGAGTTAAATTAAGGTCAACTTACTGGTTGTAATGATCTACATGTGTTTATTAAATCTGACATTCTATCTTCAAAACCTGGAGCAAAAGCATTGGGATCAATGGCAACAAAACACTGACCCTGAAACAAAATTAAACAAAACTTAGACAAACACTGAATAATAAATCTGTTCATATCTTTGTTTGATAAAATCCTGAACCCTGATTAGGACAATTCAGTGATTAAATTGCTCATTAAAATAATGTTTGGATTCTGCAAGGCTGAGGCAGTTAGTATGGTGGCTGACTAGAGTATTTTTAAAAGAAAAACTGATACTGATACCCATAAGAATTTGTGCTGTTAATACACCATGTCTCAATGACATGACACATGAGCAGGCAGTCACAACTTGTATGAGCGTGTAGTCATATAGACAATCTATCGTCAAAAACAGGGTCATACCTCCTCCCTAAATACAGCTGTGTCCCTATTGTCACACCTTCCTATGACCATAACTAAAGAGTAAGAGTCACTGCATGACCCATTTGGAGCAGTTATGGCATTATTAAATGTAAGTAGAATTTCTTGCTGGTCTTACTAGATTAGCCACTGTGGTTGTGTTTCTCCATTTTCTTATATTTGGACCATAAGTAGAACCAGATAATATACCACAGAATATTTCTACCAACATTGCTAGTCCATAACCTTTATACCCCCCTACAAGTAGAATAATTATAGTAGAAACAATATATTAGATGTTATGATCAAATGCCTATAATTTACTAAATGACTTTTCTAAAAGGTGCCTTTCCCGCGTACATTTGCACCCCATGGGTGTTTTTCAGGGAATCCAGTTTTTTCCTGATAAGATTTCTTTCCATATATACCAAAATTGCCATACTTTTATTGGAAATAACTACCCTATAAATACTTTAATCATTCTAGGAACTAAAATAATAAAACAATGATATTATTTTATTTCAAAATAACCTAATCACCTAACCTGTTAATTCTGAACCTCCTAATGGCATCAGACCACCACTTTCTAAGACTGGTTTAGGGTCGTTGCATTCTTTGCCACGAGAGTCTACACCCCAGCTATTAGGAATATTGATTCCCTTTCTATCATGAAGCTCAATCTGTGGAAAAAAAAGAGAGCGAGTTGGTAACAGACAGTTTATCAACAACACCAAACACTTGGGAAGACTTGATCAGCCAGCTCTCTGCTGTAATGATTCCAAAAGCTGGTGCTACCGGCAAACAGGGCTATTACTCCATTTTTAAATAAACCAACCACACTTGGGTCACCCAAGGTCATTACAAACTTTCAGTAGTTTATATTCCCTTGAAAGCTAATCAGATATAATGAAACTATTATTCTTAATAATAAACTGTATATTCAGGAGGAAAAGAGAATTTAGCAAATTAATTATAATCAAAGGGTTGAATTTAAACATTTTATAAAATTTTACCTTCCCTAAAGCTGCTGTGGTAGTTGCCATATCTAACACAAAACTATCTTTCCCTGCTGGAGCTGCTAATGATATTGGATTGGTTCCTAGAGTAGGCTAATCGATAAAATATGCAGTATTAAATTTTACATTTTCGTAATTATATAACTCCAGCAATTATTTACCTGATAAAAGACAGAGAAATGTATAGTTCTGTCAAATAGAGTCAAGGGTGGTGGTAACAACTTGGGGCAGGAGTGGGGGGCAGCTTTTCATTTCAAAAAGGACTTTTCTTGAACAGAGGTAGTGACAATCAAATGACAAAGTTTGTTTGCGAGCAAACCAGTTAGTGGTCTGGTGAGTGCACACTGCTGCCCCTGTGCTTATGATGCCCCTGAATAGAAAAGCATAGTAAAATTTGCGATTTATGTCTGCATAAGCCTTGGGCGATAGAACCTTGGAGATGTAATAAATTCATAAATTGCAATTATATCTGATAACGAAAAAATAAATTACAATATAAATGATATAGACGAATAAGCAAACTGACTTTACCTTTACTGCTCTTGTTGGCACAGATAGTGGGGACGTATTGGTAAAAGACATCCCCTAAAATTTCAAACATTTAATATCAATAACATATGGTAGGCATTAAAACCATAATCATCACTAATTTCTATAAAACAAATCAAATAAGAATTATTATAACTTTACATAAATAGGTCAACAAAGTCCTGGACTCTTGACAGATTTATATGTGGCTTAGATGCACAATGGCTTTGTCTTTATGTTTCAAAGGAAAAATAGCATCTTATTAAAGGGGAAATAGGCAAGATTAGATAAAGAGTTGACAGTTCTTGCTATAATAGTTAAAAAATAGATAATGAAAATAGAATATGCTTAACAAATTGCTTAACTCTGAACCAAGATATTAGCGACTGAATTTAATTAGGCTAGTTTCGATCGTCATTACCAAAGTTAATTATCCATCTTTATGTTAAATTATCCATCACAAAATGTATTCAAATCCACTAAATATCGCAAGCTATCGATGGCATTGAGAGTTGATTATGGTCTGGATAAGTTAATTAATGTCTGATTAATGATTTAGTTAACATTTCAGGCCTAAAGAAAGACCTGCAATAGGCAGATTTAGTTCTTGCATAATGTATGTATATGTCTTCAACTATAAAGTCTATGCCTTGATTGTGCAGAATTTAACCCAATATGTATCAACTAACCAATAAACCTTGTTTAGAAGCTTCCATTGCATAAAATCCTGCTATACCATAATGATTGGAACCTGAAATGATATTAATATTAAATATGAGAGATGAACTGGAAAGAAAAGTGTTTTAACAATATCTTGATATATTCATTTTCAGAATTGCCAGAAGAAGTACATTTAAAAAGCAGGCTTTAAATAAATCTGTGACAACAATACCTTTAGCAACAACCCAACCAATTCCAACATTATTTGCTTTTTCAATGGCAACGTTCATTGAGAAATTACCAGTGACAGGTCCAAGTGTATTATTACCATCGACTAATGCTGTGGCAACGGTTTCCTTAACAATACTTGGCTCCTTATCATTACATGTTGTACCAGTTTCTATATCTTTTACATACATATCTACAAATAAAAACCAATATTAACCTTCAAAGATTCCAAAAAGTGACAAAAGAACCATCAAAACAAGTTATGGATTAAATTTTGGAAAGACATTAAACATGTTTCTCGTCCAGGACATTCTAATGACCATATAAAAGTCAGATAAGATGACAATCACAATAGGCCTACTGGTAGCGCTTCATTTATATCAAAATGAAATGAAATGAAATGGGGTTTAACGTCCTACTTTTCTGCTCCGAACATGGACTTAGAGACGGACAAACGCCATACAGTGTGCTATAGGGGAAATTTAACCTGGACAGCGGCACTACGGCCTACTAGCTCTTATATCGAATTCCAACTGTCAAGGGATCTTTTACGTGCAGGCCAATGTGTACATGGGACCTCGGTTTTTCGTCCCATCCAATTTAAATGACTAGACAGCTGTCCTTGTCAGGCCCTCCGTCCTGCTTCACTGACAAGGAGGAACCACGCCAGAAAATCTGGAGGAATTTTCTCGGCCAATGCAATCGAACACCGGACCTCCAGGCTAGCAAGCCAGCGTCTCACCCACTCAGTCTAAAGTTAAACGTGCGTGCATGCTTTTATGTTACTCTTTTATTTACATGCATCTAGAAGATAGCTACAAAATATTTAATGGTATGGACCTAGCCTATTCAATCCATGGCTATAATGACCCCTGTAGTCAGCTGCAACCAAATTTGTAGCCAAATATTTAGCATGTTTAGAGCTCGTTCCCACTTTAACCATGCATTCTTCGATAAATCTCTGGACATCCTTCAAAGGCACTCTGTCCCATGAGTTGGATACTTCAGCAATATTACGGTGACAACCCTTTAGTAAGACATTATCATTAATTTTCCGTAATATTATTTTGACATTTCGAGAATAACAAAAGGTCGACATTTTGTTCAAGGGGGATAACTCTCAAAACTAGACTTTTTAATCTAAGATTTTGTTGTCCTCCCAGTCCTATTATGTACTTGTTCTTTCGATTTCAGTTAGATTTTCTTTTTTCAAACATCACAATATACACGAGATACATTAGATGGAGTGGCATTGTAAGATTAATTATTTTAAAATCGCATATCATTGCGAGTTATCTTCCCGTGGACGGTAGCCTTGGTCAACAAACATGGCGGGAAGCGAAGACTCCGAAAATTTATTTCGAAATCTGGAAGGTGCTATTTCTCACCAACAACTGAAAGAATGGAAGAAAATGCAAAAATCGGTACCTAAGTTTATCCGCTGTTACATGCATAATCATTTCACACGAATTGCAAAATGCCAAAGAAATTTACGCAGACAGAAAACAGATCGAGCGAAATTGTTATCACGCACCAGTTTAGTTTCACATAGAATGTAGAAACAATCCTATCACTTCTCGCCCTAGTACGTTGACCCGACTACTTTTGACTTCAACTACTAACCCTAACCCTAAGTAGCCGGATCAACGTACTGCGCCCACTTCCTTCCGTTCCAGTGGTAATTTAACCAAAAAAAACTCAAGATCCTAACCTAAACTAACCCAATATCTCAAGATCCTAACCCTAAACTAGCCCTATTAATAAAAGGGAGTCAAGTCAACCATCATAGAACATGTAGGCTATTTGTCTGCGATATCACCTCGGTGGAAGCGGGTGTTAAATAAAGCTATTTCACACACACACACACATAATGACCACATAGCATATGGTTATGTAATTGGAATTAAATCAAGTTTCAGCCTCACCTGAAAAATCTGAAGTTGAAGTGTTGATTCTGACAAAATTAGTCAAGTTCCTCCGGACCATTTTCCTGCATGGTTTCCACTTATTGTTAGTGGTAGCCTACAGGACAGAGGAGCGGGCAGATAACAGTTCAACAGAGTCTAGTCATTTGGATGGGACCCAAACCGAGGTCCCGTGTACACATTGACGTATGTACTGGTACATGAAAGAAAAATCAGCGGTTGGAATTAGAAATAAAAATGGACCATAGCACTGATGTCCCATCAAAATTTCCATCATAGCACACTACATGGCGTAAACCCGTCTTCATTATCCCACTCTGTGCAGAAATTTAGGACGTTATAAAACTGATTTCATTGCATTTGTAATAATATAGCGTGGTAAAACGTTTAGAGGCCAATTGTAGCTAAAACATACAAATCAGAATTTACAACCATTCTTGTATCTACAAGAAGGTATAATGATTTGTCCTGCCAATGGTTGAATGAATTTCAAGTTTTATGTCATGTTTGACAGGCTTTTAAAATGAAGACTGTCCTAACTCACTAATACATTGAATTTGTGATTAAATTAAGATCCAATCAGTCTTTACACCATCATACCCAAAGTTTCCACTTTGCATCTGAAATTGAAATTGCTTACTATTATATCATAATATATAGAAGGTATATCACCGACAGAAACAACTTCTGTACGAATTGATATTAATTGAAGCAGGAATACAGGGTTTTAATATACATTGTCACATACAGTATCTATCGAATATTCATTATTTTAAAAAAATACAATCAGAAATGGTAATCTAACAAACTGGAAAATGTCACCCCATACTGACAAATGTGCTTCAAACAGTTATGTCTTATAATTGCAATCAATAAACTCAGGACAACATTAATTATTTGTTCCAATATGATTCATATTTATTATTTATTATATATTTATTTCAGTGTGGAAACCTGATTGTAAATTCGGACGAGGAGGAAGATGAAGAAGAAAGTATGGTAGAGATGTGTTTAGAAAGTTTAAATGTGCCTAGTTCAAGTGTTGTGTCATCAGATACACCAGGATCAAGTCATGATTTATCAGCAGTTGGATCAGATATTACACTTCAATATCTTACAGGTAATCTGATCGGTGATAGCTCCTGATATATGCAAGATCTACTTATTTCACCCCCCCCCCCCTCTAAATCCACATGTCTCCTGTTTTTAACCAAAAATACAGGCATATTGTTGTCAATTGTTGAGTACAATGGACCCCAAATTTTGGTCATGTTTTACTATTTGAGTAAATGTGTATATCAGTCAACCATTCATTAATTATAGGACCGCACCACAAGCCAAACAATACCGATAAGACAAACCTGTGGACACACAGACAATGCAAGAAATAAATAACAAATAAATTTGCAAATATTATTAAAACAGTTTTTTTTTTTTCGCAGGTCAAATTACGTTTGAAGAATTTAGTGCTCAGATGGAAATGAAACAACAAGAGAAACAGGATTCGGTAGCGTTCGATTCAACAGAAGTTGGTGCTGAAGAAGAAGTATCAAGTGAAGATTTAAAGAAAACACAACAAAAGGAAAATCAGGAGAATGCCTTCATACCACCAAATGTTTCTAAAGGTATATTTCAAAGTGGACCCACAAAATGATGAATGCTCTTTTATGTTTTCAAGTTCCTATGGGGATATTGCATTGAATGTTGTGGAATTGAATTTTCTCATTAAGTACTTGCATTTAAAAATATGAGACAGGTATATTTTGCAGTAAATTTACCAATATGATATGTTGAGGTATATTTATTTATGGTTCTAAGTATGGATCATCAGAATGGTTTTTAAAAGTGAGAAGCTTAATTTTGTGTTTATAGACTCCACTAGTATATAGGAAATAAATAGATTGATACGTTCTCTGTTCCCTGTTTTTCAGTTCAAGCCAAAAAATCTCCAGTAAAATTTAAGAAGGTAAATCAACATATTTATCTCAAGGATACTGGAATCGCTGACAGAGTGTCTCTGGTTCAAACCCTTACTTGGAGCTGAGAAGAACCTATGGGATTTTTCCAAGTACAAAAGTCTTTACTCCCATTTGGGGACACAGTAGCTGAGTGGTAGGGTGGTAGAATGTCATGGGTTTGACATCATTCTGATGCGACGAAAAACATGGATCCACCTGTGTACATATCAGCAGGCATGTAAAAGAATACATGACAATTAAAAATTGAAGAAGTCTTTTCCAAAACTTTTCCCCTCGCATTGCACACATAAACCATCAAAATGAAAATTACATGTTAGTTTTAAAATAAGCAAAGTATTGTTTGAACCCCAATCTGCTCCATTTCATTCCTAATTTCCATTTGTCAACAGTAACATTGGCAAAGTGTGTTGAATCATGTAGGGCATGTAAATAATGCCTTGGTAGTTGGAATTTTAAAGACACTAAGCAGAAATGCTGCTCTGAAAAAAAATGTCACCCCTCTGTCCCGAGACAATTGCCTTTCTATAGCTCAAAGAAATGTCTTTATTTATGAACAGCCACGTAGGAAGAAAACAGACATACCTAAGAGCTTGCATGGATTAATGGGTGAAGCTAACTTACAGTTTGCTAGAGGGGAACATGATGAAGCTATTAAAATGTGTATGGAGGTCATACGATTGGGTAAGTGTTTTAACTTTTATTAAAATGTGTATGGTGATAATACTAGTTTGTAGGTGGTTTATCTGTTATTAAAATGTGTATGGTGGTAATACTAGTGTGTAGGTGGTTTAACTGTTATCAAAATGTGTATGGTGGTACTACGATTGTGTAGGTGGTTTAACTGTTATCAAAATGTGTATGGTGGTACTACGATTGTATAGGTGGTTTAATTGTTATTAAAATGTGTATGGAGGTGATACAATTGGTGGTTCATCTGTTATGTATTTGTTGTGGGTCTCTTTTGCTGCAGTAGATTTGTCAGTACATCAGCACTTTAGATCACAAGGTCTGTCATCGAGTCAAGTAACATAGTTTCCATCCCACACTTCTACGTGACAAGGAGTAGGGTGGCCTGCTTTCTGGGTCTTCTCTGGCTCCTCTAGTTTCCTCTCACTGCTAAAGACCCTAACATGCATCAAATTATTGAAGTACAATTGTACCGTAATGTGTTAGTTCCGAAATAGCCTAGTTTGTGTTGAGTGAATGTTGAACCCCATTTCTCTCTCTTTCTCAGTACTTACATTCATCGTAAACTACATGATACTGGAACAGGTTTTAGTTTGTACTTTTGTACTGTAGAATAATTCAAATTTTTATTAAAATAATGTTGTATTATATGATCTTTGTTACAGCTCCAAATGCTTACCTACCATTCCAGACATTAGGTATGTTATATGAAGAATTAGGTAATTCAGCTAAAGCCTTACAGGTAATTGTTTTAAATATATATTCAGCTACAGCCTTACAGAGAGAGAGAGAGAAATGGAGTTTAACGTCCACTCGACACAACTAGGTCATTTCGGGACTAACATATGGTTTAATTTTATTTCAATAATTCGCTTGCGCATAGGGGTCTTTAGCAGTGGGTGGAAACCGGAGTACCCAGAGAAAACCCACAAGGTTGGACAGGCGACCCTACTCCTTGTCACGTACAACTGGGGATTCGAAACCACGCCAGTCGACTCAATGACAGACTTTATGATACAGCGCGCGCACGCTAACCATTCAGCCATCCAACCCCCCTAAAGCCTTACAGGAAATTGTTTTAAATATATTAACAAATTATTTGAGACTTTTCTTTTATTTCTGTTTTGTGAGCATTACAGCATACACAAGCTAAGGTATAAACTATTTGGGATGATTTAAGATCAATCACAATTATAAAAACCTGATCAAAAAAAGTTGGTTTGATGCATTATGTGTAAGTTCCATATCTTATAAATAAACTGCTTTCAGATAATTTACCTGATGCAACTAAGTCTGGGTACATAATCCATTGACATGATATTAGCTACTCCTTGTGCAAAAAAACCCAACAAGACTGGGGACAATGATGGTCCTGTATTACTTTTGTTTATTTTAGTTTTATTTGATTGCTGCACATCTGTGTCCAGATGATTCTGAAGAATGGGTTAGACTAGCTGAAATGTCTTTAGAGCAAAATGACATCAAACAAGCTATTGCATGCTATGCTAAAGGTAAGTTAATGCATATATAAGATGGACAGGCAATACCCTTGTGGTCTTCAGAAGTTCTGATTATCGTCACAAGAAAAGAATTGCCATTCATTGTGTTTACTGTATGCGCAATTCCTCACTGGTGATACACAGTTCCTTTCTAGCGATATACAGATTTTACACTTTAAGGTGGCACTTGCTTGTTTATATCAACTGCAGATGATGCCAAATGTTGAACTATTTTCAATTCATAACATCCTTATATTGATACTGAATGGAATTGGGCCATATTGGACTGATATTAATTTTAAAGATTCAACTTTTACAATATTGTAGTTGGCAAGGGATTCAAAATCTCTCAAATAATGTCACTCAATAACATTAACAGAGGTACTGAACAATATTTGGACCGATATTCGTTTTGGAGATTCAATTTGTAGTTTGCAAGGGTTCATAAATCTCTCTAATGATGATCAGAGGCTTTAATATCTATGTTGGTCAGGTGAAAACTGAGGTAGAAATCTAAGGTAAGAAAATTGATAATTCTTTATTCTTGCAGCTATCAGATTTGCACCTGGTAATATGGAATATGTTTGGCAGAAGTGTAGTTTACATGAACAACTAGGAGAAACTAAGAAAGTTTTAGAAGGTTATCAACATATATTGAGACTTTTACCTAAAACAGAAGGGGAAAAATATCTACATTTAGCCAGAGATATGACAAAGGTAGGCCTACATTGGTTAATTTGTATATATGCAATGATTTATTGTAAATGAGACGTTAATACAATTTGTACAGCTCTATTTTTACATCAAGAGAAACTGGAATAAGATCAACAATTTAGTAGTTATAAAAGAAAATTTTTATCATGACAGGTAAGGGGGAGGGAAACAACACATCTGTTTACTTGCTAGATCTGTAATAAAAAAAAAGGTTCAAAGTGTATGCCATTACATGAATGATGTAAAAAAAAGTTAAAACTTGTGTGTTTTGGGAGGAAGTAACACTTGAAATGTAAGGATAAATGAAGATTTTTGATTTAATAAATCTCCATAGAACTTTTTGAAACTTTGACAGTTTTGTGGTCCAAAGTATCCACCAATTTAAAATAAATTTTGTAAGATTTAATTCTATCCAATTGTTTTCAAGACCTACCATGAAATGGGAGAAGAAAAGATAGCAATTGATATCATGACAAAAGCTTTTGAAAATCATCCATCACTTCTTACTGCAGAGGGTGAGTAATAATATAGTTTAACCCTTTGCACACATGTATACAGATATGTTTGGATTTAAATGTTATGTCCTGTGTTGAACCATTGCAAAAGCAATAATTAAACAGTACTGTTATATTTTTGCTTTAGCTTTGCTCCATTGACTGTGTGACATCAAGAACTAATTGTTCAAAGGGTTAATATGAATAACACTTACCCATTTTGATATTGGGGCCAACATATGATCAAAACATAGATTTTGATGGTGTTTGTATCTTAGTCATGAGCTCAATCCTTTGACAAACAGTGTGTCACCTGCTTAATTGTATGGATATTGCCATATGTTAGTCTCAATATGTTATATTAATCTTTTGGAGGCATTTAGTACCTGGATAGAGCAATAAACTATAACACATACTCTTTTGATCTTGTTGTCGTGCATGGTTTCTGATTTGTTGTTATTGCTTGTCTATATATAATTTAATCCTTGAGTGGCATTTAGCGATTGAGATCATTTGTGCTTGATAACGATAAGAGAATACTTGTCGAAACGTCGTGCTATACTTATAAACCAGTGATTGTATTTCCATATAAACTGGGGTTTTTTTTTTTTTTTGGTTTTTTTTTTTAATATATATATATAATTTGATATACGGCCCCTATTACTTGCTCACTATTTTACTTTAACAATACTAATTAGTTAAATGTGGTATGAAGCCTTCTTAAAACCATTATGGTATATAGAGTTGTTTCCCTTGTTAATAAAAGACCTTAGTGCCTAGAGCATTCTGGGATTGGGTGAACTTTAAGATGGATGTTTGTTTAGATGGACGGTTATAAATAAAACCAATCCAGGATAATCCTAGGATAAACACTCAACACAGCAATAATTGCCCTTTACATTTGTTACTGTAGTTAGTTGACAACGTTGAGAGAATACTCTTCGAAACATCGCCTAAATAAATCAGTAATTGTTCTTCCATAAGTATGTGTTATAATTTAATGTTATATGTTATATCTCATTTTTCTCTATAGCTCTGTCTATAAAATTGGTTGTAATAGTATGTGAAGGTAGACCACAACAAACATATTGTTAGTCATCATGTAAATTGATAAATCTTATTTATATTTACAGACACTAATCTACTGTTAGAACTGCTCATCACTCATCAACAATTCTTTGAATCTGTTCAGGTAAGATGGTTGCACCATACATAAAGGCCACACCCATTTGAACTTTCATTCATCGATTAATAAAAGACGCCGAAGACCTAAACTAGACCTACATAAATACCCAAAAGTTTGTTTTTTGGATGTTGGTCGAGAAAGTTCATCCGGATTTTCTGGTGTGGTTTCCCCTCATCAGTGGTGCAGGACGGATGGCCTGACAAGGACAGCTGTCTAATCGTTATAATGGGGTGAAAAAACTGGGGTCCTGTTTACACAGCACAGTGCACGTAAAAGATCCCATGGCAGTTGGAATTCGATATAAGAATAGGCTGTAGCACTGCTGTCTGGGCAAAATTTTCCTCATAGCACACTGTATGGCGTAAGCCTGTCTTCATTAGCCCAGTCGGATCAGAACAAAGGGATGTTAAACCCCATTTCATTTCATTTGTTTCCTGGATTCCTGTAAATAAAATATTTAATAAGGTTGAACAGTGTGTAATTAGATACATTGTTTCAAGCAATTGTGGCGGTTCCATGAAAATAGAGACTGGAAATGAAATATTTTGAATTTCAGATGTTAGTTTGCTTGCTAGAAACAGGAGACTGAAATACAAGCAACAAAATTTTGGGAGTGGCAATTATGACAATAAATTTAGTATTTGTTAATTTGCAGAGTTGTTTTTCTTTTTATTTTAGTTGATGGTTCGTCATTGTGATGTGGAGATAACTCTGTCTGACCAAACTTGTTGGAATAAAGATAACGATATTGAAAAAGAAAAACTTGAAGAAAATCCACCTACAAGGTAGCTTATGTTTTTCTCTCTAAATCTCTGAATAGTTTTATCATGTCATTTAAAGAGATATGGAATTATTATAAATGTAGATTTGAAATTTTCTATAAGAAAAAGATCTGAAATTGAGTGGAATGCATACTAAATGTTCATAAACAAGTTACCATAGTTAAGATTTTAGTTCTAAAACAAAGCATTTGTACTATTTTTTGCTTAATTATGTAATTTCATTATTTACGGTATGTCAAATGTAGACTAGTAGACTATGTTCCGAGTTGTTAAGTACTTCATCACACTTGTTTATTTAATTGTAATGTAATTGTTTTTGTAAAGTGCCACAGAGCAGTCAGAATTTCTAAATGTTCTGCATGTTTATAAAATGATTATTATTTCTAATAACATTATTGCCTTTAAGTTTTGTTATTAATTTCTTGTGTAACTATAATTTTTCCCCTCTATATTCCAGTTGTATGATACCTGATCTATTAGCAGTAGATCTACAAGCTAAGTTGATTGTTTCATTAATCAGGTTGAAGTGTCTCGATGTAGTCAAGGTAAATTATAAACATATTATATTAGCAAGAGCTAAATCTGCCTATTGCAGGTCTTTCTTTAGCCCTGAAATTTTATACTATTAATTAGACATTTATTAACATAAAAAGACCATAATCAACTCTTGATGCCATCTTATGTGTTCGATTTTCACTGGATTTGAATCCAATCTGCTGCGCGACACTCATTGATGATTAAATGCAAATATGGATAATCAAGACTATGTTTTTTTTTATCATACCGACTTTAGTAATGATGATTGAGGTTCTAGTATCTCGGTTCAGAGTGGAGCAATTTGACTAAAACTTTCAGCACATCCCCTTTACATTATCTAATTTTTAACTGTTATAGTGAGATTTGCCAGCTCTTTATCTAATCTTCCATAATGCCCCTTTAAAATATAGAGTTATAGAATTGAGTGAAAACCTGAGTTAATCAGGACAATCGCTGTCTCCACATGTAGTGGTCTTTATTAAAGCTATGGCTATTGTGTTGTGTTATTTTACAGTCAATAAAATGTTCCTTGTTTGAAGAAACTGTTGAAGAAGTTGGAGATCTATTTTTAGATGTAGCAGAAGCCTATATGGAAGTTAGTTCACATCAAGATGCTATACCAATACTGCAAGATTTAGTCAAGTCAGTTAATTTTAACAAGGTAATTCAGTGGAGTCGTCTAACATTTAAAAAAAAAAAAACCCCAAAAAACAGATAAAAGAAAAATATTTGAACAAGAATTACAGTTACTAGAAATGGAAAACTATTTGAGGATTTTTGTTGAAACGAGTATTTAAATAATGATTTAGAATATTTGAATTGTAAGATCAACTTTTGATTCGACCATTAGCACAGTTTTGCTTTTAAAACTATCTCAAAATAGTTTTAACGCTAAGTTTATCTTTTTTTAGGCAGCTGTATTTTTGAGGTATGCCGAATGTTTAAATTCTATAGGAGATTTACAGGCAGCCGTAGAGGCGTATACTAAAGTAGTAGAATTAGCACCGGCACATTTTGGAGCTCGTGTATCTTTATCAGCTTTACAACAACAATTGGGTAAACATGAAGAAGCTGTACAGATATTATCTAGAGGTTAGTCCATATTACATGATATATCTATTCTTTAACACACAATTTCCTTTTGTGGTTTTCACTTGTCAGTGGTGCAGGACTGAGGGGCTGGCAAGAAACAGCCTCTTGTCATTCTGATGTGATGAACAGCCAAAGTCCCATTGACAGTTGGATTTCGAAATAAGATTAGACGTACCGATAGAGTTGCTCTCAGGGCGAAATACCCAGTTTTCATTAGCTCGAATGGAGCAGAAAAATACGATGTTAAACCCCATTTCATTTCATTTCCTTTGGTTTAACTGGTATAAATGTTTACATTTTGATCATTTACCTTGATTGTCAAGACATGGAGCCATTGTGGCTTGGTCAGTGGGTGTTGGCTCACTTTGCAAGAGTTTCCCAGCTTGCATACATGACCATAGTAAATCTACATGCCATTTAATTAGAATTTCGAAGACAAAAGTTAGAATTTGAAACAATAAAATTAAGTTTCTAGTTTTTGTTTGCAAGAACACTTAATAATATGCTAAAATTGTTGTATTATTTGAAAAAAAATATCTTATCTTGCAAAATTATGTTAAAGATGAATCGGCAGGCACATTTGAAGTGAAAACCCTGGTCAAGCCTATGTTTGTATATAATACATGATTATTTTTGTTTTGGATATGAAATATAATTATTTTTGTTTCTATATTTTATATAATTATTTTTATTTTGTATATGATTGTATTTATAGAAGAACAAGAAGAAAGAGAATTATCACAAGAAGATCAAGTTTTACTTCTACATAAATCTCATTTACTCTACTCACAGAACAGATTCGAGGAATTTTATATCTGTAGTAAAAAACTTCTATTTCAACATTTCCGAGAAGTTTATAGTCCAGCATTTATGAAATGTAAGTTCTTTTTTAGTAGCACATTAATAGTACGGTATGAGAAGGAAGGTAAATGGGGTTTAAATAAAATGAAATGAAATGGGGTTTAATGTCCTACTGTTCTGCTCCGAATTGGGCTAATGAAGACGGGCATACACTATACAGTGTGCTATGAGGGAAATTTTGCCCGGACAGCGGCACTACGGCCTATTCTTATATCAAATTCCAACTGTCAAGAGATCTTTTAGGTGCACGCCAATGTGAACACGGGATTAAAGCGATTGTAATCATGCACATAAGAGATACAAAATGTTTTTTTTGTACTCCACTCAACCCAAATGAGGTTGATTTGGGACTAACATAGGAACCTGCAGCTGGAGAAGAAACTTGATGACCTTGATAAAAGCACATAGATAGGCAGGTGATCTTACTCCTTGTCATGTACATTTTTGGGATCAAAACCAATGAATCATTGACAGGCCATATGGATATTTGAAGTGTGCAAAATAAACTGCTTGGATGCTCTATGCACATGAGAGATCCTTGAATTCAAAGAAGAGTTGGCAAATTGTCCGGCATTGCATACATGTAAATAACAACACAATAACAAATCCATTTTACTCAAGGAGTTAAACAGCATATTCCATACTAGGCTCAAGATCCAAAACACTTGCCAAATGTTTACTGTGTGCTTCAATCTTTCAGTGGTGTTTTCATACAGAGCACATAAACACAGAGCAGATGCATTACGAGCTTATATCAACTTTCATCAAGGCCAATCATCTCTAGAATCATTCTGTAAGTATATACTTCCATTTCTCTAGAATTCTTTTTATTCTAGAAATATAGTGTCCTTTCCTTTAGATAGGAGTGATTCTGTTAGTACAATATCCTTTCCTATATATGGGAGTGATTCTGGTAGTACAATATCCTTTCCAATAGATTGGATGGTAGTACAATATCCTTTCTTATAGATAGGAGTGATTTTGGTAGTACAACATCCTTTCATATAGCTAGGAGTGATTCTGGTAGGACAATATCCTTTCCGATAGTTAGGAATGATTCTGGTAGTACAATATCCTTTCCTATAGTTAGGAGTGATTCTAGAAGTGCTGTATTTTGGAGTGCCTTGTCTTCTAATATACAAACTATTTCTAGACAAACTAGGAAATGATACAAGCTAAATATTAATTCTTTACAAACCCACAAAATCCCTTTCCGGTTACATTCTATTCAATTTTGGGGGGATTCAGGATGTCTCTGAATGCTGTTTAAACCCATTTGCTGTTTCAAATTGCAAAATTGTCTGCCTCAGCTTAGTGCATTTAGTTTAGTTTTCATTTTCAATACATATTCATTTGAGATGGAATTTGTAAAAATTAAATTTGTTGACAATATTAAACTAGATATATATTATATTTATAGTAAACAGTACATCAAGTAAGAATACAGCTGACAAAACAGCAGAAGTTACATCAGATGATATGTGGGGTATTTATCTTAAGGTAATAAAAGTATTCTGATATCATTTTCCGGTTTCCTCCCACTGCTAAAGACCCCTATGCGCAAGCGAATTATTGAAATAAAATTAAACCATATGTTAGTCCCGAAATGACCTAGTTTGTGTCGAGTGGATGTTAAACCCTTTTTCTCTCTCTCTCTCTCTGATATTATTCAAATAAAACTTACTGGATTATGTCCCCTTAGACGACAGATGCTTTTCTAATTTCAGTATCGGTTACATGAAACCTTGTAATTCAAAGTTATCTGCCCCTTGACCACAGATTTTTAATAACATGTCAGGTAGCTATCTTAAAATAATGGAGCCGCTCCTCTAATTCTAGTATTAATATATCATTTAAAACATTATGATTGTAAGTTATCTTCCATTTAACTACAGATAAAGAACATGTTTCTAAGAAATGAAATGAATTGAAATAGGGTTTAACGTCCTACTGTTCTGCTCCGACTGGGCTAATGAAGACGATCATACGCCATGCTTTAGAAAATGATAATGTTTTGAAATATCTTTATGTTTATTTTTTTTAGCTATGTAATGCATTATTAGAAAGTAATAGATTAGAAGAATTATTAGAAATAACAACTCTAGGATTAACTTGTCCACAGTTTATGAAAGATGAAGAAAAAATCAGGGTAAGTCACAGAATCGAAATGTATTTTAATAGTCGATCTCATATTTTGTTATGAAATTTAATTTCACGAATATTGACAGCATAAGTTAATAATCTCGACATTTTTACTCAAAACTCAATGTGCGCTGTTAAAATAAAGGTTTGTAGTAATTGCTGAAGTCAAAATATGTTCCTGTGATTAACAGAACATATATTTTTATACGCCCACATTTTCATGTGGAGTATATTGTCTCTAGCCGTCAGGCCGTCCACAATTTATTTGTGGACCCTCTACAGGTCACAATTTTATCAGATTTTGACAAAACTTGAAATATAGGTTTATCTTGAAAAGATCCAGGCTCCTATTGATTTTGGCATGTATTGGACCTGGATTATGGTCCCTGATTGTACAAAAAATCATGTTTTTAGATTGTGGACCTGTTAGAGGTCACACTATTTATCTGATTTTGATGAAACTTAAAATGTATGTTTATAATCCACAGACCTCTGTTCCTTTTGATATTTGCGCATATTGGACTGTAACTTCCTGGATTATGGCCCCTGATTGTACAAAAAAATCATATTTTTTTTTGTTCGTTCTCTGTCCACCTCTTGCAAAATGTGGGCGTATCTTGCATGGCAACTGCTTGTTATGGAGAGCAATCACTAGTTTTATTCTCAAAGCATGATGTTTCGACATAGTTTTATTCAGCAGCTACACAGAATTACTGGCTGGTCCAGCAACTGTTATACTTTTAAGAGAGAGTTGCCTTCCCTCCTCTATTCCTATGTCTATTATTACTTTTGTTATAGGAAACCGAGTTAATGAATCTTAATTTTTTTTTTAATATAGGAAACAGAGTTTATGTGTCTAATTGCTTGTATTTTAAATAAGAATGGACAGTTTGCTTATGGTTTTGTTAAAGATATATGTTTAAAGGTAAGTTGTCATTACTATTCGATCTTCTTACTAAATGTCTTTGATTTTTAGCGAAGCTGCACTGGCTCAGTGAGTAAGAGTTTTTTTCTTGGACTTACGAGAACCCTTGACAGTTGGAATTTGTTATAAGATTAGGCCGTAGCGCCTTTGTCTGGGCAAAATTTCACCCATAGTACACTGTATGTTGTATACTCATCTTTATTGGCGGAGTTGGAGCAGAAAAGTAGGATGTAAAACCTCATCTCATTTTTAGCTGTTTATTAATATATGAATAAACACACATTTAGTACGAATGTATATCGTTTTATCACCTGTGTCCAGCATTTGTCCTTAAGAATGAGAAATAAATACTTTTATATATCACTCTTTTACCACTTTTCAATGATAATTGTCAATTAATTGCTCGTTATTAGGTAAACAATAATATGCCTTGTTAGAATGTTTACTATATTTATCACCTGTTTATCACTATTCAATGTTAATTGTCAATAAATGACTCATTATTATTATTATTTTATTGTTAATATTATACATACATTTCTTTAGAGCCACTTCCACAACAGTGTTCAGAAATGATTTGCAATATAATACACACAAAGATATGATAAAATACAGAAATGACAAAAGTTAAAATCTGTCAAATATAAAATATAAAATATTGAATAAATTTGATAAATATATATATAAAACAGACAACATTAGGAGCCAGTTATAAGCTTTCTTAAAGGACGCACTACTATGAATAATATAAGGAATTAGCCAATTTCTTACAATGTACTGGAAAATTCTATTTATAGTATAAGCACCCGGTAGCTAGCATCTGAATGGCTAGCCAAATATTACCAAATATCCCTCAAATTTAACCCAATACTACCAAATTCAACCACATGCTACCTTATTATTATCCAAAACTCACAGACTTCTTCAATTGCTTCGAAATCAATGAGTTGATTCCTATAAAGAGACAAACATTTGAAATATCTGTTTATAGTATCAGTGATAAATGGAATGGCTAAGAAATGAATAAATGATTTATTTTAATGAAACAAACGTGTTGTTATTCAAACATTTGAACTTTTATCTCATTTTTTGGCAGTACTGAACCATTAATTTATGAAAATAGATTGTTTTTTTGATAGTATTGGTCAATATTTCTAAGTATGGATCAAGGGAGATAACTGTATTAGTGAGATATTGACAATCACATTTGCCATACATTTTTTGCAAGTTTTCAACAAATTAACTCAATTTTTATGCGTCCACATTTTCATTCGGAAGTATATTGTCGTCGGCCCAGTCTATCCGTACGTCCATCCACAATTTGTTTGTGGACACTCTACAGGTCATAATTCTTATCCAATTTTGACGAAACTTGAAATATAGGTTTATCCCCAAAAGATCTCAGTTCCTTTTGAAATTGACATGTTTCGTATCCAAACTTCATGGATTATGGCTCCTGATTGTACGAAAAATCACATTTTTAGCTTGTGGATCCTGTAGAGGTCACAATTTTTATCTGATTTAGATGAAACTTGAAATGTATGTTTATAACCCAAAGATCTCTGTTCCTTTCGATATTCGTGCATATCAGACTGCAACAACCTGGATTATGGAGCCTGATTGTATGAAAAATCACGTTTTTAGCTTGTGGTTCCCCTAGAGGTCACAATTTTTATCTGATTTTAAAAAATGTTTAAATATATCAGTGTTACAACCTAATGATGGTTTTCTGAAAATCGGACCGAAACTGCTAGACAAAATGGCCGAATCCTTGTACGCAAATATAGTGTGAAAGTATGTAATACCAAGGTTGTGGACCCTCTAGAGGTCAGAATTTTTATCTGATTTGGATGAAACTTTGAATAAATGTTTGTATCTCAGAGATTTCGATTCCTTTTTGATTTTCGCTCTTATTGGACTATAACTTCCGGGATTATGTCCCCTGATCGTACGAAAAATTGCTTCTTTTTTTTTTAGCTTGTTTTCTGTCCATCTCTTGCAAAATGTTAGCGTATCTTGCATGGTAACCACTTGTTTTTATATAATTGAAGTATTATATTACTTTTTCACAATAATGATCTAGTATTTAATTAATATTGGGTGGTATTGGGTAGTATTGGGTGAAACGTCCTGCCCTGTTTTGTCTGCCACGATATTATCGCATCGTTAAAATGTTTATTATACTTATCATAATCATACATTTGTATTCACCAATAAAAATTTTTTTTTAACAATTACTTTCTAACAAACTAAAAGTGAAAATATGGTTGTTTTTCCTGTATGTCACAGATGTAATAGTTTGAGCGATTGTGTGGTTCTTGTTGATATATGTTAGTTGTTATACAAAATGTAATGGCACGACTGAGCATCACACCTTTTTTGGTGTTCTAAAACTGCAACATTTGCAATGGAAAATTATGTACCAATAAACTTACCAAGTATTAAAAATTCTATCGAGAACTTGACATTATTTCTCTTTATGACAAGTTAACTATCTCTGTGAATTTAAATAAAATTGATCAAGAACTCTGACTATTTGAAGAAAATGTTGTTGGTCAAAAGATGACAGGGTGCTAAATGACAGATGGAATGAATGGCAATATACGACTACGTTGATTATGGGAAGACAGAAAAGCCTGTAGGATATTTTCTGTGTATGTATGCGTGAATAAGGGAAGACTATAGTATTGAATATAGAAATCCATGACCATTTAGAGAGCCAAACCAATCTGATTAAAGTACTGGTCTATATTTCGTTTCGTTTTTTTATAATTTCGATGGCCTACACTACATGAAGGTCTGACAAGTTATAGTGGGAGTTCATGTCAGGGGTCAAACGAGTGGTTTTTGACCCTATGACGTCAGACATAAATTAAACTATCAGCGTTGATGTTTCTAGTGGTTTACCCACAGTTCTGTGCACCAAAAGACCCAAAGCTTGCCATAACAGACCGTTTCATTGGCTAATCCCTCACATCAGCTAGAACACGTCAATGATAACAACTCTTCCAGATCCTAGTGTAGTAAAGACAAGTAAAACAAAATTTTGAACTATAAAAACGAAACGAAATAGGATCTGTGTTTTAATCAGATTGGGAGCCAAACCAGCTTTGCAAGTATGGCACTGGCTCAAAAATCATAAAGTCAATGATCAGTCTATATGGCGGCTGAGAAAGATCTTTGGGAGTTTCATGCAGGTACAGTGGCGGCGCCAGGGGGGAGCATGGGGGGGGGGGGCATTTGCCCCCCCATCAATCTGGTCTGCCCTCTGTTTGCCCCCCCAATAATTTTAGAAAATAAAAAAAAGTATTTGTGATACGTTTTGGTAATCAGTGCCTTCTACGGTGAATAAATCCCACATCCCCACTCAGTCATAAACTTGCATGTTGTAGAGCATTTCCGACAGTCTATTTTTCAAAATTTTCTTGGCGAAGTCCCCAAAGACTCGCTATTTGGCGCTCACAAGGGGAATTCGTTGAGGTTCGCAAGTCCGTTCGTTTGACATTTTGTTCTCTAGTCGGAAAAACTAGTGATCAGGCGACAGACAGTATCTGGTCAGATCTATTTATCTCAACAATCGGTGCCTGACAGAATACTGTAAGACAGCATTTCCGGCCGTCTATTTTTCAAAATTTTCTGGGGGAGGACTCCCCACTTTGACGCTCGTGAGTGGGCTTCGTCGTGATTCGCAAGTCCGTTCGTTTGACACTTTACCTCATCTATCAGTGCCTGAAATACTGCCAGGCTGCATTTCCGGCAACCTGTTTTTCAAAATTTTCTGGGGGAGGCCCCCTACCCCTTGTTGATTTGAAGCTCGTGCCTTTGCCCCCTTAACCTTGGACTTTGCCCCTCCAATCACTGACGGCTGGCGCCGCCACTGTGCAGGTAGGAGGTTGAGACAAGGAATAGTGTCTAGTTGTTACTGTGGGATAAAAAAATTGAGGTTCTGTGTATATTATTGGCAGCACGTGAAAGATCCCTTACAGCGCGAAATTGAAATAAGAATGGGTTGTAGCGCCATTGTTCGACAAAATATCCATTCATAGAACATTGCATTATGTAAGAAATTACATCCTATTTCATTTCCAAGACTCTTTACAGTAATAGATACTGAGAAACATGTGCTTTTATACTATTGTTCTCAAATATTATTGTCTTGATCGGGTGTCATTTCCTTCAGAATTGCAAGATTAAAATGTATCTCTCAAACTATATTTAAAATCATCCGTCTATTAAAGATGGGGTCCTGCGTACAAACTGGTTGATTTAATGGTATATATGGACTAAAAACTTATTCAAACTAATTAATTTGTCATAACTTTGCTTCAAATCCTTCTCAAACATTGTAATTGCGAAGGAATGTCCTGCTCTAAAAATTTGATCAAACCAGGTCATGTTTACGCCAACGTGACTTACCTCTTTTGGAAGTCAGAGGAGAATTCATTACATACATAAGACGATGTTGTCTTTAATTGCTTACTATTTATTACAAATATCAAATCCTAATTAAATTCTCGGATTATCCAATACCCCCGTCTTTTTCTATCATTTTTATCTCAGAAAGTGTTGTACGTCTAACTCTTCATTAAGTTCTTACATTTTTGTCCTGTATACGCTCCATGAGTGTTTTTCGGGGAATTCAGTATTTTTCTAGTAAGATTGGATATCTCTACTTTCCATATATACCAAAATTACCATACTTTTATTGGAAATAACCATCCGATAAATACTTTTCTGGGAACCCATCTTTAAAGTGCTAATGGTCATTGCATCTTAATATATATATATATATATATATATATATTACAAATTTCTCTGCATGATTTTGCTAACTAGAGGTGTATTTAAAGGTTGATTTATTACACCTCACTGAATCCTCAATAATTTGGCAGTTTCAGCCTCAAAACTTTTATCTGGCTTTGTACATTGAAGGTCTCCTATAACAGAATCTATGATATCAAACAGCTCTGTCTACTAAGCATACAGTTTTAAACTGAATGCGTTCTTTGTGTAAGATTTAGATAAAGAGCTAGCGATTCTTGCTATAATAGTTAAAAAATAGATAATGCAAAATGAATATATTGAAAATTTCATTCAAATTACTCTATTCCAGGGCTAGAAATTCGTCATTTTTTGCAAGAATCTAAGAGGATTCTCATATATGGCATCTGCGTGAATCCTCCAAATCTTAAATAATAATACTGTCTAAAAAACAAGATTGAGTTTATTGTGTAAATCTAAAACATCAAAATACAAGAACAATGATAAAAATAGAACAATCATATGGATTTTTACGTAAACACTATAAAAGTGTCAAAAGTAATATCCAGAAAATGCCTTAGTCAAAATAAGGTGATATATGGCACCATAGAGCTGGGCGATATTTCGATTTTGATTTTTCTGGATGATATTTAACATAAATATTGAAAAAAAAAGTCTCCCAAATTATGTCATTTACGATATTTTATTACTTTATGATAAATAAATAGCAACAAATACTGTTATAAATTCCTGAGTTTTCATTCCACGAAGTTAGCAAATGCCGATAAAGAGCTTTGTTTACGTCACATGACTTCGCGTTCACTTTTCCACCCGACCAATACCGTTAGAATTAACCCTGCGTGTATTCATTGACAAAATGTTTATACAGATGCTTTGATTTTCCAAAGGCATCATTGATTTTCAGATTGAATTAAATTTTGATAAAGCAGTAATATAAATAATGCCAACTGTATTGAGGGTTCCGGTAGGCTGATTATCTTTCAGCGTTGAACGTGTCATGGCGGTCCGTGATCCGGAAAAAAATATTTGACTAAATCAATGGACACTTTTTGACATACAACTTATGTTTTATATTATAATTTAGTATTTTTGCATTGCATAATGCATTTTCAAGAGGGTATGCGCTTGAATGAGAAAAAAAGAGATTCCTAGGGTAAATGAATAGCATCCAATTGTGTACCCGTAGTTTAAAAACATGCACGGCCGAAAGAACACAAACTATTTTTAATGGTTTTTTTTGTGCATCCTTCATATAAATATTCGTAATTTAAATAAAATATCATAATTAATATACTGGAAATTAAAATTGTAATAAACAACATAGGCCAATATTTTTAGCAAGTCTTCATGGCTATAGATAGATAGATAATTATGTTAAAAACTTTTAATAATATTGGCTAGAAAGTGTCAATCAAGTGAATACTCCGGGGGTTATTTCCAACTTTTTATACATGTTTTTTTTACATTTAAAAAAAACTGATGTTATTGACATTTTATAAAATATCGCGATATAGTGATTATATCGCGATGTTTTTTGAAAGTATCGCGATATCTGTTTCCAGGGATATCGCCCAGCTCTACACCATGGCATTTTTTCATAGCACAATTTGTAGTCTTTTGTCCATCACGTAACTAGTCTCGTAACTTGCAAAAGTTTTTATTCATTCGTCGATGATAGACAAACGGCACAATGATCACGTGACAACCACAATTGAAATTGCGATAAAATCGTACAACTATGATATAGCTTCAATAATATTTTTAAAATTAAGCCTCTGTCAGCATGTGTATAAACGCTATTTAGATGTGGTTTATTGACCTAATTCCAACCAATATGTCAAGTGTCATAGGAATTCAGTATTTGAGATTCAACGGGAAAATACCCACTGTTTCTTTTTCCGTGTATTCGGTGTTCTACCAGGGGATTATATTCAATAAAGATTTAAATTTACCTAACAACTGGTCAGTGAATCCATCAATGTATGATCCAGTTATTATTTTAATATCTACCTGTACCTGCACTTCACACGGACGGAGCGTAAAGACATGCAATTCGCAAACCATGCTGAGATCGTCTTTATTCGCCACGTTGAGTATTTTACTGAACCTTTTATGAATTATCAGCAAGTGTGTTTTGTTTTTTTACCGGATTGTGAAAAATCACCGTTAAATGTGCTAATTGCTCGGATTAAGAACCATACGAGGTATGACCGTTGTTGTAGCCGACAAGCAAATTGATTGTCTTTTTTTATTAACAAGTAATAATTACCCCGTTGTAATTTAGCCAAAAGTAGATTGATTTATGATACCATAGTGATGGATTCATTGTTTTACCAATCCGCTAGATTAAATGTCAGTTAGCTAAAGCCGACAAAATACAGCCGATACTGACCGACATTCAATAGTCAGACTCAACAATTCTCCAAGATTTTTTTTTTTTTGATTTTTTTTAGAAAAATTTTACGCGAATCCTTGTAGATTCGCAGCATAAGCTCTTGCGCGAATCAGATTCGGAGATTCGCATGAATTTCTAGCCCTGTTTTCTGAGCGAAGATATTAGCCTTTGAAGGTTTGACAAGATATGTGCATTGATTGTAACCACCATACTGGTTGTTCGAGGCTAAGCCAAACCGTTCTAATCTACTTATTATCAGAGATATCCGATGGCATCAAGAGTTGATTATGGTTTTGTCATGTTAATAAATGTCTAATTAATAGTTTATGTAACATTTCAGGCCTAAAGAAAGGCCTGCAATAGGCAGATTTAGCTCTTGCAAAATGTATGTTTAACTATTTGTTTAACTGTCTCACCCAGATTTTCCTGCATGGTTCCCCCTTGTCAGTGATGCAGGACGGAGGGCCTGACAAGGACAGCTGTCTAGTCATTCGGATGAGACGCAAAACCAAGGTCCCTTATACACATTGGCGTGCACGTAAAAGATCCCTTGACAGTTGGAATTCAATGTAAGAGTAGGCTGTAGTGCCGCTGTCCGGGCAAAATTTCCCTCATAGCACCCTGTATGGCGTATACCCGTCTTCAATAGCCCAGTTTGGAGCAAAACAGTGGGACATTAAACCCAATTTCATTTCATTTCATGTTTAACTGTCTTTATGAAACTTGATGAAATTTTATTTTTAAACTTGCAATAATCCTGTTAAAGTGATTACCAAGCTTGCATAGATGGAACTGGCGGAAGTTTACATTTCTTTATATTGTTGCCCCCCCACCTTCCAGAGATAACTGGGGACAATTAATATAAAGTTTATCTGTCCACCAAATCTCAAGTTTATATTATTTGATAGTTGGACAAATTTCCTTATAAATGTACCGGGTAACTCTATAATGACACTTTTTATATGATCAAAATGAAATCTTTTGTGTGTGTATATTGAAGAGACTATCTTTTCACATTATCTTGTAGTATGCTTTTATCAAATTGATTATTTTCTATAATCAGCATAAATCTTTAAATAGTTGTATTATTAAAATCTTGATAAGCTTCTTATTATTATTAAAATAGATTCTATATTGTATAAATATTGATTATCATTAACACATTGTATGTTAACAGCGTCACTGACACAGTTGCTCAACTCTGCTATCAGAGTTGGTTAAAGCAAAAAAATTAGTTTGCTTATAAATTGAATTAATGACAGCTGACACAAAATGTAAAATTGTCTGCAATAATTCAATTATTCACAGCAATAATTCAGTTGTTGTCAGTAATATTAATAATTAAATTATTGTACCATGAAATTAATGTAACCTGAAAGTTGTCCACATAAATGCTAGTTGGCTATTACATATGTTTTTGTACAAATTTATAAATTTATGGGAGACCGTGGGGTGGGGGAATTTGCCATGTTCTGATGGCTCTTGTTAAAAATACATTATGTAAGATTTAAATAAAGAGCTGGCCATTCTTGCTATAATAGTTAAAAAAATTAATAATGCAAAATGAATATATGGAAAATTTCATTCAAATTACTCTATTCTGAGCTAAGTTATCACTGTTTGAAGCTTTGACAACATGTGGCAAAGATTGTTTATTATCATAGCATAGGTACTCGTTCATCAATACTAAGCCTGTTTGTAATTTTGACAAGATGTGTGCATTGATTGTTTATTATCGTAACCACAGCACTGGTATATTCGAGACTCTGACTTCCTTTTTACAATTAAATCATTAAATGGCCGAACTGTTCTAAATCTTAAACCTCCGATGGCATCGAGGGTTGATTATGGTCTTGTCATGTTAATAAATGTCTAATTAATAATTTATATAACATTTAGGCCTAAAGAAAGGCCTGCAATAGGCAAATTTAGTTCTTGAATAATGTTTCTTTAATACTAGAATTGATTAATAGTTTGAATATAGTAAAATAAACCAGTATTTGTTGTGTTATTATAACCTATCAATTACTAAAAAAAAGCAATTTAATTTCAACCTTTGTCTTGTGGTCAGGATTGGAAAGAAAAAATTATGAAAAAATGGATCTGGAAAAAAAAATGTACTCTTACTCTTAAGTGGCAATACATTAACGTGAACATTAATATGAGTTCTTAATCATTACCTGTAACCAGGCTAAATGACATATATATTATTGTTAACTCCTGTCATTTCAGCATAAAGATAATAATCAGGCCTGGAATTTATTTCAACAAGTTATATCCTTTGCTAATGATGCCAGACATAATAAATTTGCTTTCCGCTTATTAATGAAGGTATTATTCAACATTTGTTTGCTAATTGAGTTTATTTGTTATGAGGTATCCAGGTGAAAATGTGGGTAGATAATTAATAAAGATACCAATTAACGAATGTCATTATATTCTCTTTATTTGATGAAATATTGTATTTGTTTTTATACGCCCACATTGAAATGTGGTCGTATATTGTTGTCGTCCCTGTCCGGCGTTCCGGCGTCCACAATTGCCTCTAAAGGCTAAAGTTAATATCCGTTTGACTTTAAATTCATAGACAGTGTTTAAGGTCATGAGACCAATAATTACTGCCAGAGTTATAGCCCTTGATTACTTTGAAAAATCTTGTGGCTAATGTTAATATCCGATTGACTTTAAATTTATACACAGTGTTTAAGGTCATGAGACGAAGAAGCCTATTGATTTTTAACTATTTCCTATAATTACTGCCAGAGTTGTGGCCTCTTTTCACTTTGAAACATATTGTGGACGCTTTGGAGGCTAAAGTAAGTTAATATCCGATTGAGTTTAAATTTATACACAGTGTTTAAGATCATGAGAAAAAGAATCCTATTGATTTTCAACTATTTCTGATAATTACTGCCAGAGTTATGGCCTTTGGTTACTTTGAAATATCTTGTGGACACTCCAGAAGCTACAGTTAATATCTGATTGCTATTAAATTTATACACAGTGTTAAGGTCATGAGACGAAGAAGCCTATTGATTTTCACCGATTTCCGCTAATTATTGCCAGAGTTATGACCCATGATCACTTTGAAAAATCTTGTGGATGCTCTAGATACTAAATGTAATTTCCGATTAACTTAAAAATTTGTACACAATGTTTAAGGTCATGAGATGAAGAAGCCTGTCAATTTTCAACGATATCTAATGATTATGGAAATTGATATTAAATGTTTTGTATGCTAAATGTTAGAATAGGGCAGAACTAGAAGCCAAATCGGTTGCTACTCGTAATCAGATTTTAGTGTGTTGTAAATGTTTTCATTTCTGACAAAAGAAAAAAAACATGCGATAACCCTTGATTCCCCAGACGATTTAGCTGCTGTGGGTGTATGTTTCATTGCCTGGCAACCTATGTTTGTTATTTGCCCACATTTTAACAAAAATGTATACTGCTATCACCCCTGTTCCTGTTCAAATTTCTTGTTAGCACAATAGACGAAACAATACTTTATATGTCAAATTTGTGTGTGTCTGTCCATCAAGCCTGGAAATAAGGCACCTGCCACTGACAATGTCAGGCACAGATTCAGGTGTTGTCGGGCACTAAACCTCTGGGGCCTGTCATTTTGTCTGGCACTGATTTGTCTTTTTTATTGATATTATTTATACATTAAGTTGAAAATGTCAGGTACTATTAGTATTTCATTGGTGCCTGACATTTTGTCAGGTATATGTAAAACCGTTATTTCCAAGTCTGCTGTCCGTCCATCTGTTCTTGGTCACGTTTCTCTTTAGCATAATAGATGCAACATTAATCCATACATCATTTTGTTCCCCGCCTTCTGGAGAAGCAGAAGACTATTATTGAAATGGCCGAATGGTTAGTACGTGTGCGTTGCATCATAAGGTCAGTCAATGAGTCAACTGGCGTGGGTTCGATTCCCCGGTTGTACGTGACAAGGAGTAGAGTCCTCTGTCCAACTTCGTGGGTATTTCTCCGGGTCGCCCAGTTTCCTCCCACTGCTAAAGACCCCTACGCGCAAGCGAATTATTGAAATAAAATTGAACCATGTGCTAGGTCCGAAATTACCTAATTACCTAAACCCTCTCTCTCTCTCCCATCTATCTGTCACAATAAGTCTGCTTCTAATTAAGTTAGAATGTTCAATCTTGAAGTCTTGATTGAGGTGGATGATTAGCATTTTCTGCTAAGGTTAAGCAGGGATAAGCAATTTCATTGATCAAGACTTTGGAACTAAATAACTCTGCTTCTAATTGTTCAAACTTGGTGTAAGGTGCATGTCTTGACTTTTGACTGAGTTGGATAATGAACACTTTTAGGTGAAGGACAGATAAGCATTTTGATTTGTTGATGCTTTGATGTTATTTGAGTGAGTGGATGAAACTTTGTGTATGGTTTGATTATATCAATACCGTGACTAAATTCGATAATGAACATTTTCTGTCAGCTTAAAGGCACTGATTGCCGTTTGTATTTTTCATACAATATCTAATTTTTTTTGGCTTAACCCTCGCTAAAATGTACTCAGATTCTTTATTTAACATCTAATTAAACAAACATAATCTAATATGTAATCTAACTGTAGATAGTCTTCCGACTTTCAATTTAATTGGATTAAAAAGAGGCACTGTCTTGTTTTCACTAGATCCTGTGTCAATGTAGGCTTCTTTAGATTGAGTTGTTTCAATGGCATTTAGTAATTGAACTGGAATATACAGGTCGCAATTCTATGGAATACAATTACTGCTTATTACTGAGCAATGTTTCGACTAGGCTTCTCTAGGCATTATGCCTGATATATTCTTTAAAGTGATATGGGCTGTCCATCTCTCGTCTGTCATTGAGTCAACTGGCGGGGTTTCAAATCCCCGGTTATACGTGACAAGGAGTAGGGTCGCCTGTCCAACCTTGTGGATTTTCTCCGGGTCCTCCGGTTTCCTCCCACTGCTAAAGATCCCTACGCGCAAGCGAATTATTGAAATAAAATTGAACCATGTGTTAGTCCCGAAATGACCTGGTTTTGTCGAGTGGACGTTAAACCCCATTTCTCTCTCCCTCTCTGTCCATCTCTCTTAAATGATGAAACCTAATGATTTTCAATGATTTCAACTAGAACTTCCCATTTGTTGTTAGCAGTGTAGAGGCTTTATTTATAATCTGAGCTATTTAAAAATTTATATGTGTTATTTACCTTATAAATGCTTGGAGGATTTTGCTGGTGGTGGGCTTATGTTTCATTGCCTGGCTACCTATGTTTAGGATTTTATTTTATAAGCTTACTCCAGAAGTCTTAGAATAACTGAAATAAATCATCAGTGTTAATATGTTGGATTCTATTTAATATTCAAAAAGTCCTAGAGTTATTGATATAAATCTCCTATTTCTACTTAAAATTCTCACTTACTCCAGAAAATTAGAATAGCTGAAATAAATCATCATTGTTGGATTCTATTTAATATTCGAGAAGCCCTAGAGTTATTGAAATAAATCTTCTATTTCTTCTAAAAATTCTTATGAAATATTGGATATTTCATAAATTGAATAGGCACATCATATCAATTTTTTTCGGATTACATGAAGATCTAAAATGTTTAATATATTTGATTTTCAGAATCCAGAAAGTATTCCACTAGGTTTAACAAACGGTCATAACTGTTTACTGAGTGGATCTTATAAAAATGCATTAGGTTTGTATCTGTTCACAATTGCATGAAAGTGGGATTGGAGTAGCCTCCGATAATATATAGTTTTATTGTGTGTGAAAATTTTATCAACCAATCATCAAAGTTTTTTAGGTTAAAAACAACATCTTGTTGAATGGCGTTAAATAATTGTAATTTTACATTTTGATATTCGAAGTTTGATTTTTTTTTGACAATGAAATACTTTAAATATGCAGCTTTTTAATTGCCTTTGCGCTAAAACCTCCTCTTATCCAATAAAAAGACTACATTTTTAAAATATTTTACTTTAAAGGACAATGTTGGTGTCAGTCATTATAAAATATGTGATAGAGCTCGTTAAATAAATCCCAAATATAATTTTAACACAGAGATCATTGCTATGGGAGTTGTGTAACAAGCACGTGAAGAAACGGGAAGTGACGTCAAACATGACAAACATGAGTTGTCCTTCTATATAACTGACTGAAGTAACGAGCGGTAACAGACAAACGATCGAATTTCATTTCACTGATAATTCCGTTGAAGATGAAAAGTTGTTATATGAGACGATGAGAGGATATCTGACAATTCAAAAAAAGAATTGGCTGTCAGTAGATAAAAGATAACGAACAAATTAAAAAAAGTCTGTGCATTACCATGTTTTAATAAAGAACAGAATGAATAAAAACGGGGGAATGCACGGGTTTTTTTCTACTTTTTCTCGTGTCCCTTATCTAGTGACAGCCAATTCTATTTTTGAATTGTGAGATACCCTCTCACCATCCCATATAATAACTTTTCAACTTCAACGGAATTATCAGTGAAATGAAATTCGATCGTTTGTCTCTTGCCGCTCGTTACTTCAGTCTGTTATATAGAAGGACAACTCGTGTGTCACTTCCTGTTTCTTCACGTCCTTGTTACACGTCTCCCGTAGCAATGATCTCTGTGTTAAAATTATATTTGGAATGTATTTAACCAGTTCTATCATCACATATGTAATAATGACTGACACCAATATTGTCCTTTAAGTTTTTGTAAATAAAGTCCCTAGTTTGATTTATTATTTGAACAGGAGAATATGTGAATGTTTTAAGACAGATACCTAATGATCCAATGGTGAATCTGTGTGTTGGTTTATGTTATATACATATAGCTTGTCAGAAGTTTTCAGCTAAGAAACATTCTCTCTTTGTACAGGTAAACATTTCTACATGCATGATAGACTAATATTATTAGATGAAATCATAATCTTTAAGAGGCATTTAGCACTGAGAAACACATTAACAGAACACAATTTTTATGGGAATCAATCACTGGTTTTATTCTTAAAGCAAGACATTTCAACGAGTATTTGCATTCATAAATGCGTTTAATTAAAGTGTGTATTTATAAAGTTGTTTCGTTACAGGGTATATCTATAGAGTTGATTAATTATAGTTTATATCTATAAATTCCTATTATTATAGGGTATATCTATAAACTCATTTATTATAGGGTAAATCTATAAACTCTTCTAATTATAGGGTACATGTATATCTATAGATTTGTTTATTTATAGGGTATATCTATAAACTTGTTTAATTATAGGGTATATCTATAAACTTGTGTAATTATAGGGTATATCTATAAACTCGTTTAATTATAGGGTATATCTATGTTAAATAAATACATAGAACTACGAGGAGAATGTCAGGAGACTTATTATAACATGGGAAGAGCTTTACATCAATTAGGTAAATTAGATTTCTAATTATCTTTACTCTTTATTTAGTCGTTAGTTAGCTCTTAATATAATCATTAATTAGTCAGTTTATATATTAATCATCAACCCTTTTATTAATAGAAATCTAGCATGTCTAAATATATTAGTATATGTACTGGTAAATAGTCCAGTTTCGTGCCTGAAAATATTGGTAAATACTCTAGTTTCATGATGATTGACTTTTTCTAACGGTTCTTATCTTTGATTCCAAAATTAAAGCCATGACACCATTATTGATTTTATGTCGGTTCTTCCCGTCTGAGGAAATCTTGACTTTCTGATTATTTTACAGATCTGAAATATGCAGCCGTATTTTATTATAAGAAAGCTTTAACGTTTCCTCCTGTTATAGATCATCCTGATGTAAGTTATTCTCTTTATTCTATCACTATGGACTTGACCTCTACATCAATAACTTTATTGAAAGAAAGAAAACATAGTACATAGTTCACATTTTCATTTAAATGTGCATATTCACAGTAAGTAACAAATTTATATTATATAACAATAAGTAACAAATTTATATTATATAACAGTAAGTAACAAATTTATATTATATAACAGTAAATAACATATTTATATTACCAGTAATTAACAAAATTATATTATATAACAATAAGTAACAAAATTATATTATAGAACAGTAAGTAACAAAGTTATATAACAGTAAGTAATAAAATTACATTATAGAACAGTAAGTAACAAAGTTATAGAATAGTAAGTAATAAAATTATATTATGGAACAGTAAGTACAAAATTCTATTATAGTAAGTAACAGTTATGTTATAGAACAGTAAGTAACAAAGTTATATTAATAATTAAATCTATAAAATTAATCATAATTTTATTTTCATACATTGCTCTTTAGTTTTTTATGTCAATCAATAAATTTGACTGTTTTAGGCCAATTATGACAATTTTAACTTGAAATATTTGCTGATTTGGAAATGTGATTTAAAGACAAACAAAAGAACAATTTTAGGAATTATTGCATTTTGGAACACAAAATTATGTTTAAAAATTTGCATTACTATTTTATCAGTGAATTAAGCTTAGACAAACACTACTAAAACCACACCAATTTGAATGTTTGTTTTTTTTGGGAACACTTGTTAGAATTTTGCTTCCTATTTCTGCAGGGGGAAAAAACTAACTTGAAATCAAAAGGTACTTGATTGCTCTTCTCAAAAATTTAAAAAAAAATTTGAAACAAAATATTGTTAACAAAATTTAAGTGGCTGTTTATTTATCAAGACCGTAAAGAGCAAAAAATTAAATTGTTTTGGCCTAAAGGAGGTATTAATGTGTGATTAGAAGATCACACCCTTGATTGTATCAAATTTGATATTCTGATTAATAAAACTCATGATGTAATACTATATCAAAGTTTTAAATGATTCTAAATATTACAATGGCTATAAGTGATAACAGATCTACTCGTTATTGATTTTTTTATTCTGTTTCCATATTCTAATTCTACTTCCAATTACATTCTTATCAAAAATAAATTGGTAAATTTATTTATGGAATTAGAGGGAGGTAAAGTTTCTAATTTAGTCAGAACTGATCAAAAATATGTTGATTCAAGCACTAAACGTAATGTCAATGTTGATAGTATATGACTGATAACGATAATATTGATATCTATTAAGTGCTGAGTTTGTCGTCAGTATCTGATTCTAATGATTAGTAATACTTCAGCTCACATATGATAAACTATATGTAGAGTTGGAATAATGTTTAAATTCAGAAAATTGAAGAAATGATTTTAAATTAAGTAAATTGAAGAAATGTTTTTTGATTAAGTAAATTAAAGGAATTTTTTAAATTAAGTAAATTGATGAATTGTCTTTGAATTAAGTAAACTGAAGGATTGGTTTTAAATTAAGTAAATTGAAAGAATGTTTTGAATTTGGTAAATTGAAGGAATTTTTTAAATTAAGAAAATTGAAGGAATATTTCAAAATTTGGTAAATTGAAGGAATGTTTAAATTAAGTAAATTTAAATGATTTTAAATAAAGTAAACTTAAGGAATGTTTTTTAAGGAAGTAAACTGAAGGAATGTTTTTAAATTAAGTAAACTGACGAATTGTTTTTGAATTAAGTAAACTGAAGGATTGGTTTTAAATTAAGTAAATGGAAAGAATGTTTTGAATTTGGTAAATTGAAGGAATTCTTTAAATTAAGAAAACTGAAGGAATGTTTTCTAATTAAGTAAATGGAAGGAATGTTTTCCAAATTAAGTAAATCAATTAAGTAAATAGAGCTAATGTTTTCCAAATTAAGTAAATCGAAGAAATGTTTTTAAAGTAAATTGAAGGAATGCTTGTAAAATGAAGGAATGTTTTTAAATTAAGTAAACTGAAGGAATATTTTTAAATTAAGTAAACTGAAGGAATATTTTTAAATAAAGTATTGGTTCTGAGAATAAGAGATCCAACAAGAGTATCTAGGACTAATGAACTGTGACAATCAAAGATCTGTTTATACAGTGAGAGTGACAGGTTAATTATAGAAGTTGATTTGTTTTCTTGCGATATTTTCAGGCTATATATGATCTAAGAAGAGAGACGGCCTTTAATCTATCATTAATCTATGAAACAAGCGGTTCTGTAGAATACGCCAGGGTCTTATTACAACAGTACTGTGTTATCTGAGGTAAGCAATTTCATATATCTTATACGCTACAGCAATTTGAATTTAAGTTTTTTGAGAACCTTTATTAAAATTACACTTGCTAATTTTTGAAGTGAGATATTTTTAAAAAAATAAAAACACACAATTTCTCTTAGGAATTTTAGATTTTTTTTAAAAAAAATACCAAAGAAGTAACAAATACATTGGTGAAATCATAGTAGAGGCTTTTTTTTAAAACAGTTATTTGTAAGGTATGGTAGACTCGACAAAATAAGAAATGTTAGTAGACATACAAATCCATGCTATTTGATCTATAGTAGTGGGGTTGGATGGCCGAATGGTTAGTGCGTGTGCATTGTATCATGAGATCTGTCATTGAGTCAATTGGCGTGGTTTCAATTCCCCAGTTGAACATGACAAGAAGTAGGGTCGTCTGTCCAACCTCAAGGGTTTTCTCTGGGTCCTGCGGTTTCCTCTCACTGCTAAAGACCCCTACGCGCAAGCGAATTATTAAAATAAAATTGAACCATATTTTTGTCCCATATTGATAAATGTTATTATTCACAGCATCATAATTAAACCTACATATGTTAATGTGTTCATATAGTGTTGTCAATCTCCCCATTTCTTATTTCACAATTCTTGTTAACATATCAGGCCTTGAGCCTGCAGTCCATGGATGAATTCTCCCCCACAATGCCCTAGTCGATTTTAGATCTCACCATCACATCACTGTTCATTTTATTCAGGTGCAAAGTTATCCTCCGAGATATGGAATTATCAATTTAACAAGCAATTCTGAGGGAAACACAGGCGAGGCTGGAAGGGAAACATGAAATTTAGATCGGTTGTAAAAGATACATAGATGCGCTTTTCTACATATTTATTTCAGAATTTTGCCCAAACTATTTAAAAACATTACTTAAAAGAATATGAAACCAAAAAACATTCAAAATACAGTGAAGAAATGTAATCCTTCTGTCTCTATTACAACCTCTATCTAAATCCAAAAATAGTAGCCAAACATAATTAGCAATTTACCGGTTCATTCAGAATGATAGTAAAGAAATAACACGCATACAAGCTGACATATAGTGGCATAATTTGTGATTGAAAAGTATATCCGAAACCTAGTATTGTATAATCACCGTAAATCGCCGTAATGTATATGTAATTTGAGTTTTTCCCACCATTCTAAAGCAAAACAATAAATTGGTGGAGCTGTCAATATGTATTTGGACATACACATGTATGATATCAAAAGAAATGGAATTATTTTTTATAATGAACAGTTACTACAGTATTACTACATGTATTAAACAGTGATTATTTATAGTTTATACATTTTAAATATAATGTAAACTAGTTATAATAAGAAATTTTGCAGTGTTAAATAGGTCTCGCAAAATATATGGCGAACACATTTTATCAGTTGAATATAAGTTGTTGATTTGGGACACGTATGGTATGGCACGTGTTTCAGAAGGGTGCTTCTAAACCATCCACTTTTATATTGTCCTGGAACACCTCTGCCAAACTCACCCTGCATCTTATCTACGCATGCGCTTAATACACTGAAGAACACTGTAACCCATTAGGAAATGAATTGAAATGGGGTTTTAACATTCTACAGTTCTGCTCCGACTGGGCTAATGAAGACAGGCATATGCCATACAGTGTGTTATGAAGGAAATTTTGCCCGGGCAGCGGCACTATGGCCTACTCTTATATCGAATTGCCAAGGGATCTTTTACATGCAAGCCTATGTATACACAGGACCTCGGTTTTTCATCCCATTTGAACGACTAGACAGCTGTCCTTATCAGGCCGTCCTGGACCACTTACAAGGGAAAACCATGGAAAATCCCAGTCAACTTTCTCGGGCAATCCAGGGACGAAAATGCGACCTCCAGGCTAGCGATAACCCATTAGGGATATTTTTTGAATATATAAGTAGTTGAAAGGAAAAGTCCAGTGAGGCAGGAACATCTCTTATGATTTTTTGTACTGCAGGAACATCAATTAAAATTTTGCTTCCAGTTTGTTGTGGGGATGTGGGTGTGGATGGCGTGATTTTCAAAAACTTTTTGTTCAATATTTTATATTTTGAGAATTTGAACCAGATTTTATCAAGACTGAAGAACTAAAAAATAAATTGCTTTGGCCTAACCACAATTATCAAAACTGCTTCATGACAGTTTGTCTGGCAACTTATGTTTCAGATAATACACATATCAATGTTAACTTTCTTGTTATGTCTCGGAGATAAGAAAGATTAACTTTTTTATACCAAAGCAAAGGCAAGATGTTTAACAAATTCTGTAATGATTTGATAACGGTAACAACTTGACTGAAAAAATCAATTTGTGTTCAAGGAGGTGAGATTTAAATAACTGTCAATCATTCTGAGATTGCTTCCACAAGCAGACGGTCGTTGGGTTTTACTATCATTATTAGTAATTGTGTAAGATGATGAGTTGTTTACGTGTATAGTCAGTCAGGTTTGTAGTTTATTAAAACTGTCTAGTTATATTACTCAGTGTGTATATTGATGTGGAATATATAGAAATACATCAGTTGGCTACTTCACGATTCTCTGGATAATATATCTCCTTCTAGGAGTTTACTATAACATTTATCAATTACTGCTACAGTCGGATACAGATGATTTAGACATTTCTGTCTTCTTCTCCAATAAACTGTTTGAAAGATGTTAAAATTTGGTAGGATTGTTATGTGTGTGGTAGTTATTAAGTTTTAAAGAAGGTGGGCTAATACACCAGGCTGGGACGAATTTAGATTATTTTTATGATCTCTCCTAGTATTAACCATGTAAAGAATCAAGAACTTTTGGTAGGAATGTTATGTGAGTGTTATTAAGTTTCAAGAAGCTTGGTCACCAGGCAGGGACAAATTCAGACATTTTGACATTCTACTTGTACTCCTCAACCTCTTGAAGGAGTGATCTAGATTTGGTAAAAATGTTATGTGAATGATACTTATTGAGTTAAACACTTGTTCAGTCCCTAGGAGCTTGGTCAATACATGATTCTTGAAGAAATCAATGAAATTTGGTAGGAGTGCTGCGTGAGTGACATTCATTGCGTTTTGAAAGAAACCCTCGTCCATAACAGCTGGGCTAGTGGGAGTAATTCAGATATTGGATTTCTGCTCCTGAACTGCTTAAGGAATTAACATTTATAGGTAAGGGGGACTTTTAAGATCAAAAGTTTTACTTTTCAGAATTAACTTGTAAGATTAAATTATAAACCAATTTAGCTGGAATATGAGATGCTTTTGAGATTTGCTATATTTATACATTAATATATCTGAGACTTAGATGACTGCCTCTAGAAAACTGCCCCCCCCCCACTTCTATTAAAATTCCCCCCCCCCCCCAATTAGTTTTTAATGAAAACATTTTCGTAAACAGGCATTATGTAAGAGCTAAATCTGCCTATTACAGGTCTTTCTTTGGGCCTTAAATGTTATTAAACATTATTAACATGACAAGACCATAATCAACTCTGGATACCATCCGATGACTCTGATTTTAAGTAGGTTAGGGTGGTTCAACCATTTAATGATTAGATTTAAAAATAAAGAAGCGAGGCTAAGACTCGAATGACCAGTACCGTGGTTACGATCAATGAACACATCTGGTCAAAACTACAACTGTTGATAACTTCACTCAATTTGAATGAAATTTTCAATATATTCATTTTGCATTATCTATTTTTGAAATTACCTATTTTTGAATACTATAGTGAGAATGACCACCAGCTCTTTATCTAAATCTTACAAAGGGGGAGGAGGGTGGGTGGATGGCCAATGGTTAGCGCATGCGCACTGTAACCACTGTCATTGAGTCAGCTGGCGTGGTTTCGATTCCTCGGTTGTACGTGACAAGGAGTAGGGAAGCCTGTCCAACCTCATGAGTTTTCTCCAGGGCCTCCGGTTTCCTCTCACTGTTAAAGACCCATATGCGAAGGCAAATTATTTAGATAAAATTGAACCATATGTTAGTCCCAAAATGAACTAGTTAGTGTTGAGTGGACATTAAACTCTCTCTCTCTCTTTCTTAACTTTTTACCTGAAGTAAAATCAATGTTTTCTAAACTGAGGGCTGAGGAGGAGAGGAGAGGGGATAATGATATAACATATCGTCACAGAATGTTTTTCTGAATAGTATGTGACATGAAATCAGATGTTCTTTTATTCTTTCTTTCTTTTGTTTTAGTGTTTCCTTTGGTATTGTTTGATATAATTAATGTTTTCTCTCATCAAAAGAGTGGGCAGTTAACCTGCTCCCAGTATATCTAACCTATATACCATTATGATATCAGGAATCAATTAAATTACGAGTTCTGGCAGCAATATCATTTAAGGGAATTCCCCTTTGTTTTACTTGCGTTCATCATTAAATCCAGTAGGAGGTAATTAGAACATCATTATTTTGTCACCCAAAAAATTGTCTATATTTTTTGTGATCTACAATGGAAGAGCAGACAGCTAGATTATGATTTGATGTATTTGATGAAGAAGTAAGAGTTGTTGATTTTTTTAACTGGACGTATTTTCATTTGTTTTATGCATATATATATATAACAAGTTGCACCAAATATAAAATTGATTTGTTAGGGTGTACAGCTCGAAGATATGGTCACGAGTATAATTGAATCAGCTTTTCAACCATCTAAACCAGTGATGACATTATAACACACAGGTTTTTAAGCGACACGCTGTAAACCTTTGAACCAAAAAAGTTACCAGCTTTGTTCAAAATTGCGATCTGACACTTGATTGTGAAGCTCAGCCATTATCTTCTTGAAGCCTAACAATTGGTTGATTGATTCTACCTCACAAAGTAGCAGCCAATCAAAGAGTTAGCCTTTGTTTTGATTTTGAAAGACATGACAATAAGTGTATATTTTGGCCGGTGTAAGTGACAACATCAATAACAGGAATATTCAAATTTCAATATGTCGGACTAAAAACGTTCACCTTCACTGATCTATACC